AATATTGTAAAAATATTTCTAGCGTGATAACTTAGTATAAATACTGTAACTATAACTTTAAAAATACAAATATAAGAAAAAAATATAATTTAGGAATTATTTTAAAAAAATACAAATATTAATAACAAGATAATATGGGTTTAATGTTGTGAAAATATTAATAGTGGGATAATTTGGCATAAATATAATAAAACTTCTGATATTATTAAAGAGATAATTTGGGGTAAACAATGTAAAAACAAAAAGCGAATAATCTAAGATAAATAATAATAATAGGATCAATTCTGTCCACACTGCTTGACCTAAGTATGGATAAAGTTTATATGTAAATTTAATCATTTACAAGTAAAACTACAATTTGAATACATCCAAATGATTTGGTTCTTATGTAGCTCTAAACTCCTTCAATTTAAAGTCAGGAGCTGCTCCTAGATTATGAGAAACACTTTGGCTTGAAGACTTTTTTTGAACATTTGTTAATCTACTGAAAAGACTCGCGGCATCAGAATAACCCTCAGTGGGCAGTAAAGCTGCAGGAGACTAAATAAAAGATGCAAAGCTAACTGCAGTGAAACAGCATCACAACACAGTCAGAAAAGAAAAAAAAACTCTCTTGGTTCAAACATAATTAGATAACCACACTAGGTAGACGATGCATCAAAGCAACTCATTGCACAGAAAATTTGAACATTTTCAGACACTCAATCAACAAAATGTCAAAAAAACCTTAATTTCTACTAAAACTATGTATTAATTTTATCGATATTACAGCTCAGAATTTAAACCTGATCTACTGAACTGAATAATTTAGCCTTTAAAGAAGCATCATGTTGAATTGTCAGGAAACCTGAAGCCAATTTACCAAATTAAAAGCACTTCACCTGTGACTCTGAAGCATTTAGCACTAATTCACCTCATCCTCGTGTTATCAGCATAAACAGTCAGCCACGTTTTCTGGTGTTACCCTGAAATGTACAATCCCTTTGTCCAGACAGAGGACTCCCCCACCTTCCTTCACAACACACCTACTTGTAGTCAACCATAAACAGAGAGTAAAAAAGAGGAAGGGGAAGCAGTGGGCGCTGCAGAAAATAGAGGAAACTGCATTCCCTTATGCGTGAAAAACTTCCCCAAATGCTACTAACCTTAGAGCGACTCATGTCTCCGGCGCTCGCGTCCACGTCGCCTCCTTTCTCTTCTTCTTCTTCCCTGCGGTCGTCGCCGGTCGGCTGGATGCTGACCACAGACGGAAGGTCAGAGGTCAAATTTCAAGCACTGTCCATTTTTTTTTCCAGACGCTAAATTAAAACAGTTTTCTCGCCGTCTAACGAGACACACAACTGTTGCAGAGAAAGAGGCGAGCAGCGAGCCTTCATCTCTCTGTAGGTGGACTGTGTCTATGCAAATCGCCGAGATACTAATTACCCTCCTCCTCCCCTCGGCCAGGAAAACGCCCATTTGACTGTCAAATGTGGCCCAAGTCATAGGGAAATGATGAAGCTCAGCAGAATGGTGACTCCGGTCGCTGTGACTATTGATCAACTTCAAATGATCAAAAAAGAAAACGATGCCGTCACTTTCCTAACTGTGAAACTTTTGTGTCCTGCAGGTGAGATTCAGCAATTCAGGCGGCAACTAAACAGGTGCGTTTGTCATAGAAATCAAGATTAATAAACAAGACAGGTGCTTTTAGGACATAGCGGTAATTCTCAGTATTATCAACAAGGGAACCCTTTGTAGGTTTATTTCCTCCTCTCACTCTGGCTCCTTTTTTACTGCAATTTAAAGTCCTGCACCTCTAAGGAAGCAGAACAACCATGACTAGAAGTAGAGAGAACTAGAAAATGTCTTCTATGCAGCCTGACACAGTTAAAATGCAAATTAAAATTGAATCTTCTCTAATTCAACAACCTTTTCTTTTTAGTGCCCACAGTTGCTACCAACACTGAAGGGAAAAAACCAGTGGCTTCATGCACAATAAATATTTTACGACTTACATTTATTTCCATACTTGCCTCTTATCTGCTTTGTGTAAACACTGCCTGCAGTTCAGCCCAAAAGTCCCTGAATTTTTGTTTTGTGACTGCTGCACTTCATGGAGTGCAAAATCTTTCAGTTTTTACAGAATCTGGCTTCTGCAAACTGCTTTTTTTGAGCAAAATTTCAAATTAGACATGCAGAATAAAGTGGGTTTGACAAAATATTGTGATTTTGAGCTCATATTTGGTTATTTTTTCCAACTGAAATGCATGTTGGAGAAGCATGTGGACGTTTGTTGCAGCAGAATATTTCGTATTTCTTGAGAAAACGGTTTAATTTTAGCAAATTTTTACATGACACGTGTAGAATAATGGTTACAGCTTACATTTAGTTAATTTTCCCGACTGAATGGCACACCGCAGATGAGTAGTTCAGGTTTGTAGATGTTACTCGCAGCAGAATATTTTACTTTTGTAAAAATCTGGTAAAAGAAAATAGCTAAATTTTGGCAAATTAGTAAAAGAGACATACAGAATAAAGTGATAATAAACTATTACGATAAAACTAAGTCACACATGATTGCTTCACCATCATAAAGCTAAAAAAACAAACATTTTTTTTATGTTTTTACATTATCTTACAACAAACGAAGTAATTTTAGTGATATTTTAAAACATAAGAAGCCTTTCAAACGTGCCGGCAGGTTTCGGTGGCGTCAGCGATGACTAAAGTCCCCGTTCTTTGCTTGCCAGTCATTACTGCATTCTTTATTTTGGAAATTCCTGTTTAATCAGTCACACATTATGCTGGATGTGTCATGGGAACCAAGAATGCATCAGAAGGCATATTAGGAAGGAAACTGCATAACCTGTTGTGCCGCCCGTTAAAGGTCACAGCGGCAACCACTCACCGTCTCTCTCAGTTAAATTTTTACATTTTTGAGAACTCACTGCAACGTACTAGTTTTGCAATCTACCGGAAACCTCAACAACAGCCATTAACACGTAAAACTACTGTATGATTACTGTGCAAAAATTCCCTACGTTGGCGTCCCCCTAGTGGTAACGTCAAAAAACAAACGATGACAGACAACACTTTTGTCACTCACCTCTCACTCTGTGCGATGGTCTCCTCCGGTCCAGGTGATGTGCTGTTGGGAGAAACCATTTCACCTTCTGTGGGAGGGGTGTTCACAGGCTCGATGGTTTGATCCTGGTCGGGCTCGGTGCTCAGGCTTTGGGTCGGACCGCACGACTGAGACTCTGCACTCTCACAAACGTCTGCAGCTGCAGAGACGAGAAGAAAATGGATTTGGATGCAAAAATACATGTTTAAAATAAAGATTTATCGTCATCTTTTATCTGCATGTAGATTATTTGAACATTAGTTGTGATATTCAACTTTATCTACATGTAGACCAGGGGTGTCCAATCCTGGTCCTCGAGGGCCACAGTCCTGCATGTTTTAGATGTTTCCCTTCTTCCAACACACCTGATTCAATTTATCAGCTCATCATCAAGCTCTGCAGAAGCCTGATAACGATCCTGATCATTTGAATTAGGTGTGTTGGAAGAGGGAAACATCTAAAACATGCAGGATTGTGGCCCTCGAGGACCAGGACTGGACACCCCTGATGTAGAGGAATATATTTTTAACATTTGGGAATATTTCTCTCTGTGTAGTTCACATGGAAACCAAAACAAGCAACAATTTAATGATGACTCACTGGTGGGTTTAACAGGCGTGTTGTCTTCACAAAAATTGCAAAAAATTACGCAATTTATCAGAAGTAGAAATTGCAAAAACAGAGAATTTTCATATTTTCATGAGTCCATGAACTACTAGTCGAGGACGTGGCAAAAAGATCCAAACATACACTGAAATTAAAGGCATTTTATTTAAATCATTTTATTCTATATGTCTCATTAAAAAAAATGGCCAAAAATATAAAGTTCGCTCTAAATTCATTCTGAAAAAAAAAAAAAATTCTGAGCTCTTGGTACAACTGTGAAGCCATTAGTGAGTCAGCTGTGACCAACAATCACGTGACAAAAAATTATTTAGTTTTCGGCTGAACTGCAGGTTGTGTTAACACATAGCAGGTAGAAGAAAAGAATGGACGTCAATTTATAAAAATGTAATCTGTATTTATAGTACGCAGAGTTTTTTTTTCAGTACTGGCAACACCTTTGGGCTCTATGCATGTTCATTCTGGATATTTACATGTTTTAAAATTACATTAGAATAATTAAAAAAAAAAAAGAAAAAGAAAAAAAGATTAATTGCATTATAACTGTGTCATACAGCACAATATAGGTTTTTGAGTTCTCTCTCCTTCTATCCATTATTGTCCTGTTTCCATAAAGGTGCAGGACTTTATATTTCATTTCTGCAAAAGCTTGGGAGTCAAGAGGATCAAACCCAAAGCAAAACAATAACCGACTGATCCAATTAATAAAAATATTCGTCCCCATGACAGCGGCAGTAACGCAGCTCTGCATTACAAAGTGCAACTTCATGCAGTTTTAACCAACCAAACAACAAGAGCGTTGTCCACACTGTGGCATTTAGAACAGCTTGACCTTCATTTTTTCGCAAGATTTAGCAAAAGTCTTCTTTTTTTTTTTCTTCCTCTGAACAAACAACAAAACCGAGTGAGTCAGGAAATGACTCACTCTTTGGTTAAGTTGTAAATGCACACAGCAGAGCTGACAGCGGGGGGAGAGAAGAAAGTGAAACAGAAAGACAGCGAGCGACGACGTAGACGGAGAGAGAGAGAGGAGGAGGTCTTACTGTTGTTCTCTGAGTGGGACAGATCAGGGAGAGCATCCGCCTCAGGCTGTCTAATGCTGACAGCTTGTGAGTGGGCGCTCAATGGCACCGCTGCCTCTTCCTGAAAACACACAAACCATAAATATTCAAAATTCAAAAAAAAAAAGCAAAAGGGTGAAAAGATCAAATAGGCAACACACACATCAACCAAAACAGCAGGCGGCAGAATCCGTCAATAGAAACAAACCGCTGTCAGAGACGTTGCATAAGAAGCCGGCGAAGTCTAACAGCTGACAGACGACACAAAGAGTCCGCCCAATCGGTGATGGGTTCTTGGAAAGGACCCCCACCAATTACTGTCATCATCGCAGGAATTCAAAAAGCCAACGTCACTTCTTTCACACTGTTGGCAGCATTGACGGAGTGTTTAAATTAGTTTTAATAACCTCACAGGCATGAAATTAATTAAACACCGAGCAAGTGAGTAGAATGCAGATCGGGATGTGGAGGGGGGATAAAGTGGAAGACGACACTGAGATTATAGCTGCTGCTGCTTCTTCTTTTCCCTTTTAGCTCAGCGTGATCTTAAGGTTTCATCACTGCCATTCTATATAAGGAAGCAGACGGCCTCGGCGAGCTGAGGCCGCGAACAACGACACGTGAAGAGATATTTGGTAGGCAAATGACAGAAGAAGGAGAAAAGGGTAAGGAGTGCCGCAGCGTCTGATGTTCTGCTATACAGTGAAAGAAACACAGAACGCATAAATTATCTGCGCTGCTAACGTTCTACCTCCTTGGCAGTCACTTGAGAAGAGTTAAAAAAGAAATCAAGGAGGTGTTGTTGTGCTCGAGAACATTCACACAGCTGATATGTGAAACCGAAATTTAATATGTCAAAGGATCCTTGAACACATTAACCCTCAGTCGCCCAAACTCTGGTTTTTAAAGGCATGCAGTCTTTGCAAAATTGCCAAAATTACACCCATGCATCGATGCACGAAACTCTAAAAACAGAAAGAATCGTCTAAGTTTTAACTTTTCCCGAGAGTCCTTGCACATTTGCAAAGTGCCGTCCTGCAGGAAAACTTCAAATCGAAATTTATTCTACACGTCTTATTGAAAATTGGCTAAAAAATAAACAGTCCACTCTGATCAGATTCTGTAAAAAACAAAATATTCTTCAATCCTCGCTGCAACCGTGAAGCCATGAACGACTCAGCTGCAACAAACGGTCACATTACAAAAATTCAAGAACTTTTCAACTGAACTGGGCTGAACTGCAGGCTGTGTTTACACAGAGCAGATAGGAGACAAGACTGGAAGTGAATTAAAAAGGCTAAATAGTAAAACATCCATCGCAGGAAGACTCACCATTTTTTTCTTCAAGTGCTGGGAACACTTGGAAAGATGTTGCACATGCTGAGTCCAGGTTTGTTCCGTTTTTGCACAATAAATAATCAAAGAAATTCAACTTCTGCTTTTTTTCTGAGTTACAACATTATAACTATAATATACTGCACTTCTGAAGGAAACTGCTCGAGGTACAGAGGAAGAGTTTCTGCTCATAACTGCACTGTAAGTGTGACAAAAACCTGCGAGAAGTGTGAAAAAAAAAAGCGTCAGACTGACATGAATTACCCTGCGACTTCTACATCCTGCAGCTTTCAAACTAAGTAGTGAGTTTAACAAAACTCATCGGCAGACTTAAGAGGTCTGTCTGAAACATTAACACCAAATTATTGAGGTAAAACGTGTCACACAAGACTTCTGAAGAACCGCACGAGCCTATTCCTCGTTCATAACTCTTAAAAACTTCCTACTTCCTTCTACTAACTGCACAGAAAATATGCGATTGTGTTTCGGGTGACAACAACCAAACTCCATTAAACCAAGGAATGTAAAACAAAATCTGTTCCACCCAAACACACAAGTCGCCCTATAAATCATCTGCTGTCAGTCTGAGGTTTGTTCAAGAGATCATCAGCAAGAGTCGTGAGGATGGAGCAACTCTCTTTCACAACCCACATTTTTTCAGGCTTAGTGGTTTAGTGAAAGTCTCTTTTTTTTTTTTTTACTACGAAGACAGTTTTGTGTCTTTATCGTGAAGCTATCTATGGAACAGCTGCTTCTATAAATGTCCACAACAGCTGCTTAGTGTTTAGTTGAGCTTATTTTCTAAATGATATCGTCCCATTTCTCAGTTAAAATATAAACAAGTGGTCCAAAACCAGGAAAATCCCCACCAGGAGTCACGACTGAACGAAAAGCTCCGTCTGTTGCACTAATACTCCTGAAGTCATGGCGCTAACTTCTCCGATAATCACATGTGCGCCGTCATAAATGAATTGAATCAAGCGGTGTCCAAAGACTGAAGGATGTGGTTTGGCAGATATAAATACAGTTTCTCTGTTTCAAAGGAAAGAGAAACTCATTTGAAGCCGAGTATCAAGTTGCATATTTATAGATCTGCAGTCAACGACAACCCACAAGGAAAAAAAAAAGCACTTATTTAGTTGGCGATTAACTTCACATAAATGCACCAACCAGGAAATAAAAGCAGTGATGTTTACTGAAGTATACTGGCAATGATTTAAGAGTGCTTTAAGAGTTTGCTAACATAAACAGTAGAAATTTTTAAGTTAGTAGAAGTAATTTTGATCTAAGTTTTTCTAATTAGAATCTATATTTATTCAGCACTTCTTCAAAATTCAACTTGCAAGGCAGCAAAAAAAAAAAACAGATGAACACACGACATGATCAGAGAAGGTAGAAAGTATTATTGAAAGAAATGAAAGAAAATTCAGATTCAAGTAAAATCAAGCAACTTAAAGTCATACTTGTGTCAGCGAGCATTTCCTGATTTTACTTGAGAAAGAAAGAAAAACAGCTCAAAGCAAAGTCAAACTAAAGTAAAATCAGAAAGTGTTGCTGATACGTATGTTTATGTTGCATAAATATGTTTTAAAAGAGAACATTAATCATTGGGTCTCTGACTTCCAATACTTTGTCCTCTTTAGTTTTCAGACCGACACTGAAAGAAACAAAAGATCTAAAACTGTGCACCTGTGCTTAGGGTACTAAAATATCCAAGATTTAAGTGTGAAAGGTCATAAAGGGCCTTAAAAGTACTCTTTAAATCAATCCTAAAACATACTGGGAGCCAATTTCAAGAAGCTGAAACAGCAGCGATGTGATTCCTTTGCAGCTGAGACTTTGGGCTCAGGCAGGTAACAAGGCTGCTGCAGTCATCCAACAAGATGGAAGCGTGTAAAACGGTCTTTAAAAATTAAAATCTACTGTAGTTTTAAAATATTTACAAGCTGCGGTGGGTAATTTGTGATACATTAAGCCAATATTTAAAGTTGTTGGGTTACGTAACACCAATTATAATCCTTTCTACTGCAGGGCACTTGGACATGATGGCTGTTGTCCTGAATGTGCTTTAGAAAATACAAACCAAAAAACACTTGAGTTAACTATTCTGTCTTGTTATATTGCATTTGTTTTATTGCAAAGCACTCTGTAGCTTTCGTAAGGTGCCATACAAATAAAGTAAAACAGTGAATAAAACTCAGGATAAGATCTGTGCACTTCGTCTCATGACAGGTTCGTTTCATCTCAGTTGAATTTACCTGCAGCGGCTCACAGTTCACCTCCGGCTCCGTGCAGGCTGCAGAGTCTGTAACGAACAGAGCAAAGGACAGATTAAAAATGAAAGGCTGAAAAAGGACAAAACAAAGATCATTAAGCCTCGTCCCCATTCCTCCAGGGGGTTAATGACCATCCAAAAAAAAAAACCCAACCGCACCTTTACCATAAAAGGTCAGGCCGTCTATTATGCAAGGAATCGAGCCGAGCGAGGGTTAAAATACCATGCATGGCTAAGGTGGCATTAATGACCACATTTGCACTCTTGTTTTCTGTTTCTCTGCCTGCCAACCGCTCATGCAGGCAGAGGAATGGAGGATTACCGAGCTCACTGCGTGGCCTCGGACCAGTCGTGCACCTGGCCATAGAAGGACCTCGAGGAAGCAGAGATTTCTCGCACCACACACTCGCTCTCTTTCCCCGCAACCTTCGGAAGCCGAAGGGCCACGACAACCATAGAAGGCAGGGGTCTGCTGCCAGAGGGCCTCGCGGCGGAGCGCGCCGGGCTGAGTTAGTGCCCTGTGACTCCCGCTGGATTACCGGATCATAATCCGCCCTATCGCGCACACAAATCAACACTCGAAGACAATAAGAGCGGCCGAGGCCTTGTGCATGTATGGAATTCATCCCGCGGAGCGCCGTGCAGGACGCAGCCAAATCTACATACTGAGCCTACATGTGGGAATTTACAGATTTACTGCCCGAGTATGTGAACGCATGCGAGGAATTTGACTTGCACAGAATGTACTTATCAAAAAAAAACATGCATTAAACAAGAGTTAACTATGCAAAGCTACATACATGTCTGCAAGAAAACGTTTAAAGAGAATCAAAGTTCAGTGCAAGTCTGGTCATAATGTTTCACAAGCTGATACTGGAAGCTGTGAGCTTTCAAGAGCAAGTACGAAATAATAAATATAATAAGTACAAATAACGTGCATTTTCTCTTCTTTTATTAACTCTCTGAACCCCTAAACCCACCCGAGTGTTTAAAAGGCATGTCCCTTTTTTAAAACTGTTAAAATAACACCATTCAGTCATGACAAGAAACTATAAAAATATTAAGATTAATCAGATTTTTAATGTTTTTAACAATCAATCATGTGTGACTTTCGGTTTTTGTTAAGGAAAAACAGCCAAATATAAGCAGGAAATGGGAATATTCCACCAAAATCACTTGATTCTAGAAGATTTTCAGAGCAGCTCAGACGTATCTAACCTGGAGTTTTGACTTTTCTATCCCCTGAAAATGGTTCTTGCCTCATTAAAAAAAAAAAAAAAAAAAAATCCCCAAAAAGAAAACCATCTGCTCTAACCAGATTGTGTAAAAAAAAATACAAATTCTAAACTCCTCAGTGCAAATAACAAGTTATTGTTGATTTTGCTGCCGCCAACAGCCACATGGCAAAAATTCAGGAACTATTCAGTTGAACTGGGATGAACTGCAGGCTGTGTTTACAAAGAGCAGAGAATGGAAACAAATGAAAACACAGTATGCAGAGTCACCATTTTCCCAGTGTTAGTCACACCTGTGGGTGTTTTTTCTGGTAATACGAGTACTCATGTTTCTTTATTATTCATTGCATAACTGTGTGATACTACACAGAAGATATTTCTCTGTACTTCTAGCCATGGTCGTGCAGTTTTCGCACAGGTGCAGGATTTAATATGGAGCGAAAAATTAGTCCACAGCAAGTTAAAACCACCCACAAGTCTGGTTTAACATTAGCTGCAGGTCAACACTGACATATGCAAACCTAATCTACAGCTAAGAAATCTGTCATTTGCTCATCAGATCAACAGATGCATCTAAAATAACAGTTACAGATTTCCAAAGAAAGGTTTGGGTCTCTTCGCAAAATGCACAAAACTATTTCGTACTAAATAAAAGTCTTAATATTTTACATTTAAACTCACATTTTTACAAATGCCAGGGTTTATTAACTCACATTCTTGATACTAGAGGCTCTCTCTGGAGTTATTTCTACTGGGTTTCGTCCAGAGCTAGGAGCAGGGTGAGCACAGGGGTCACAGCAGGACCAAGAAAAATACACGACTATATTTAGCCCTATTTGGCTCGGCTTGAAGACGTTCTGGGCTAATTTTGCTGATACTGGATATTAAAGGCTCAAGGAAGATTCCTCAGTGTTCTCGACTTTCCCCGAGACAACTCAGAACATTTAATCTGTTTAAGACGAGCGGCTACGGCAGTATTTCAGTGCCTCCGCTCACCTCGACTTTCCGTTTCCTGACCAGGCCGGGCCTCCAGGGGAGTCGACGTGTCCCTCACTTCTCCTTCTCCCGCTGTGTCCACCACCGTCCACCTCTCCTCCCCGTCCTCCTCGTCGCCGCCGCCGCCGCCGCCTCTGTCCGTCAGCTTATCTGCCGTCTCCTCGGGGCGACTGCCTCTTCGCTCGTCCCGGCAGTTCCTCTCCGCCAGCTCGTTCTTCAGGAAGTCTTGGAGGGCGAACTCCTCATCCCAGTCCAAGTCATCTCCGGGCTGAAAGCAAAACAAAAAAGAAACCTGACATGTAGCATTACTCTTTGCAGTCAAGTTGCTGTCCAGCTGCTTAAGCTAACCACCAATTTACAGTATCAACAGCAAAAAACAGCTCATTAATTCTTTTTTTTTTTTTTAAATCATCCTCCTGAAACATCAGCTTTTTGTTGTTTACAAACTCAAAATGCTTGCTCCTAAATCCAAAGCTACACTGAATAAATTACTCCAAACTGAGAAGTGCAATATTTGTAAAAAAGGACACCCTGGTTACTGTATGCAAATCTGTCCACCTCAGCACCAAGCTTATTGTTTTTTTTTCTCTTTCTTTTTTTTTTGTGGTGCAGTAAGAACAATGGCGTTGTGATGGAAAATGTTCGAGCATGCGTCAGTGCATTTTGTGTTATGAGCAAGCGCGTAGGTGTGCGGTCGCATCTGATTCTGTGGGTGCACATGTCCACTTTAGCCGCCAACTCGCACTCAGCTCCCTTCTAGCACAGACACTCCATCTGTCTGGATGCAGTGTGAGCTGCTCTCCAAGCAAACCATCTGATGTGGCTCTACTGCGGCAACAGATGATTAAAAACCCTAAAACATACACATGCAGTGAAGATTTAAACACTGCAGGGGACACTTGTTCACCCCCCAGATGGTGCAGATTTACCCGAGTAGCCTAAAAACAATATACACTCGACTACAGATTAGCTTTCAAAGTAGCTGCTGCAGTTTATCACATACAGGTAAATGAATATAACCATGATGGAGCCTCTCTGACCTCGTCCTCTGGTGCAGGTGTCTGGCATGAGGCCTCCCGGCTGTCCTGAGGCGTCTTTAGCTGCTCCAGCTCCTCACACAGCTGCCGCTTCTGGTTCTCCTGCTCCTGCACCCTGCGTGCAAAAAATCACACAAAATCCCGTCAACGATGACGCCACAAGGATTTTTTTGCGAGGAAAGTGCAGAGGAAGCATGCAAAAGTTGAACGCGAGATCCTAGAAGACAGTACAGTGGACATACTGTACCCAATCCGCAGGCCCATGCAGTGTCCCATTCTGTTGCCCAGGGTGACCAGCGCCAGTTCTCCGACTGGCCCAGTAATGGTTCCTTCACTTCACAGCTGTTTTGTTTTTTTAGATCCAGCACTTATTTATCAAACTACACGCGGACCCTGAAACGTGTCCTACAACAACATCACGATCCCAGCACTGGGTTTGATAATCCAGTCGCGTGTTATCTCAAAAACTCCAGCGTGGGAGGTGGACCTTTATACCTACAACGAGCCCTCTTCAGTATTATTTTCTCACCCTGGCAACCGAGCACCAGTAAATCCCAGCCGGACAGCCCGACCAGTCGCCTCCCTCTCCGGTCTGATGCTGCTCGGCCCCGTTTATATATCTGGAGGGGAAGGCCGTCTCCATGAACACACGCACAAACAGACACACGATTAAAAACCCGGGAATGGCCCAGACCCAAACCTAGTGAGGCGGGCCCTCGGAGGTCACCGAGGTCAGGATGATTAACAGCTCTTTCTCCCATTCAGCGCGACTGAGCGGCCAACTGAGACAAGTGGAGACACTCACCTCTGAGACACATGCAGAGGTTTGACATTGAGCAGCCTGAGTGGGGATATTTATCTAGATTAACCCTCAGAACTCCAAGCAGCGTCTGGGTGTTTTTCACTCACAGCGGGGTCATTTTTTCACTGCAATATGAAGTCCTGCATCTCTACGGAAACAGAACAACCATGACTAGAAGTAGAGAGAGCTAGGAAATGGCTGTTGTGCAATATGACAAAGTTATAATGCCACACATCAATAAAAAAAGGAAAAAGTTGAATTTCTTGCATTAATCATTAAAAAAAACAAACAAAAAAACTAAAATCCGTCCCAACAGGTGTTGAAATTAATAAAATAAACTTGGCTTTGTTTCCTATCTGCTCTGTATAAACACAATATGCAAGTTTAGCCAAAAACGCCATTAAATTTTTGCAACTTGACATTTTTTTAATAGCATCTTATAAGTCTAACTGGTTGATTTTTTGCAATTTAATAAATTAAAATAAATTAAGAGAGATATTCGGAATAAAGTGCAAATCTGCTATAATACCATAAACCATAAAAAAGATTAATTTTATTGATTATTCATTTAACAAAAATGAAAAATACTCGAGATCAACATGTACAACACTTTTGTCCACAGGCGTTACCAACACTGGCGGAAAAACAAAACTCTACATATTTTGCTGCGTATATTTTTATTTTATCTCCTATCTGGTTCATGTGAACACTGCCTGCAGTTCAACTCAGTATATCCAAAAACTCCCAGAATTTTTGTCACGTGACTATTGAGCACAGTTGGATAACTCGTGGCTTCGAGGTTGTGCAGAGCAACACAGATTTTTTTGTTTTTTACAGAATCTGTTTAGTGTAAACTGTTCATTTTTGGCAATTTTTTTAAAAACGGAAAATGCAAAATTAAGTGAGTTTGATGAAATATAATTTTTAAGCTTAGATTTTGTTGCTTTTTTTCCCCACATAGCTAAAAGCTACACATCCATTTGTGACTTCTTAAGAGTTCAAGGACAGTCAGAAAGCAGAAATTTCTACATTTTCTTGCCATGATAAATGCTGTAATTCTGACAATTTCTTTGAAAAAAAATTTAAAAGAATAAAATAACATGCCTTTCAAACCCACAGGCATGTCTTGGGGTTCAGAGGGTTAATTAAGTCCGACAGTCACTGGACAAAGCAAACAGTGGCAGACATAACTTCACTTGTTGCATAAAATCCTCCACAGCCGAGCTCAGTAAATGCTTTTTTTTGTTGTTGTTGTTATTCATTAGTGACCGCGTAGCCATTAAAATCTCCGAAGTGCTGCAAACACTAACAAGCTTGCACAGACCTTGAAAGGTCAGCTGGGCTAACCGGCTAACCTTGATAGCTCATTATGCCCAGGATGCATTTTTCAGTTAGTAATTACACTGCTCCACTTAATCAGCTGCGAGCTCTCTCACTAACAGAGGTGTCGACGTTACCTCGCATTGAAAGAAAATGAGTTTTTTTTTTTTTTTTAGCTCTTCCTACCGGGGTTTCATTCACCCAATGAGATCACTCCTACTCGAGAGCAACTCCGCCTCAAAAAAAACTGCTTTCCTACCTTAAAAATCGAGTCGTCTTTGATGATCCACCACGAGATCCGCCGCTGTTCCACTCTCGCGCATCCTCCTCTGGTATTTATTCTTTCATCCACCTCTGCTCTCGCACCAAAAAATTCTCAAGCAACAGCGCTCGGCTGCTCGCACGCATCCGACTGCCCACTTGTTTTTTTTTCCCACACTCGCAGCCTCCCAAAACGAACGAGCAGCGACAGACGGCAAAAACTCACCTGACTGAGAGGTGGAGGATCTCGGTGCGCGACCTCCTCATGTTGCTGGCCATTTTGATCAGCTCCTTCTCCAGCGAGTCCGTGTACTGGGCCAGCTGGTCCAGGCTGAGGACCCAGTCCGCCCTCCTCGCGTCCAGCTCGGCCTGCACCGTCTGTTGGGAAGACGAGGGGCCGCGGGGTCAGTCTGTCGCCCGGATGAGAGGCCGCTGCACAGCCTGAATAGCCGGTTCCTTCCTTTCTTTTTTTTAAAAGTTGTGACAGCTAACTGGCACGTCACTTCGGCACCGAACGGAAGGCGCGGACTCGCGACAAGCTCAGGTCCGCTAATGATTTCTGTCTCATTTGGTATGTTTAGTGCTGTACGGCGGTACGTGGCTAATGAATGCAGAGTGGTAACAATGCAGGAGGAGGGGGAACGAGGAAAAAAAAAAAACACACAGAGAGAGAGATGCAGAATGAGTGAGGGAGGAGGGGAGTGGGTTGTGTTCACGGTACAACACACTGACTAAACGGCACCGCTCGGATGGGGCCTGCTGGAGAGTTACATAAGTGAGAGATCTCTGGAGAGGAGGGATGGTGGGTGGGAAGGACAGCAAGAGCAGATAGGCAGCGATAGATGGAGAAAGAGAGTGCAACAGGTGGAGGGAGAGGAAGCTGGAGATTGCATTATGTAACTTTATGATTCATATAGGGAAAAAAACAACAAAACGGAAACAGCCCTCGACGGACTTAAATCAATGCAAACACACGGGAACGCAGCGAGCTGAGAATATGCAACTTTTTCTTCAAATGTGAGCGTTGAAGTGTATCCGACCTGCAGATTTGCGTCGCCCGCCGGCTGTGTGTGGTCATCAAACAATCCTCTGACTGTAGATAAGACCGAGTCGGTTTCTTCCCTGAAATCCCTTTTCTGACACAAACACACAGAGAGAGAGAGAGAACACATTATGAAACAGAAGAGCACTAAAATAACTGCAAAATGTAAGGCATGAATTCCTGTGGCAAGAACAAAGGTCACATGAAGACCTTTTATAGACTTAACGGGAAACCACTTTGCATGTTCTGACCCCCGAGGAGAGCCTCAACAATCTAAATGTAAAAGTTAAGATGATGTTACGTCTTTGTGCACCTCAACAGTTATGCAAAAGTTTACCAATGCTTCATCTGAGGCGGAAAGACCCTAAAGATGGAGTTAAAAATGCAAACAAGCTACTTAAAAGGTCCCTTATTGTGCAATTTTTGAGCAAATTAATCAAAGTCTCATGCGTTCCAGGAATGTGTCTTTCAGAGTTTCAGCACAAAATACCACAAAGATGGCTAATTTCACCACGACTGTATAAAAGTCCAATTCAGAACTGGCTATTTCAGTGTCTGTAGCTTTAAATTAAGCTTTATTGGGACATGGATTGTATTAAAATGCAGTAAATGTGAGCAGGAGAGACGTAAACAGATTTTGGTTGCACTGAAGCACAACTGAAGCCCACTCAGTATTTATTGGTTTCAAATCTCTCTTGAAGTTTCCACCAACTCTGAATGTCCCTCCGGTTTACGAAGCTAACAGTAACATGAGCTGCACAACATGCTAACACTAAGAATTCCCCTATTTTTGTGGCGCCATTGCCATTTATAATAAAAGTAATCCACTGGATCTTCAGTTTCTCAGATGCTGGCAGTGCATGAAGACTCTTGTGTTCACTCGTGCAGCCAACAGCAGGACATCTGCTGAGTTTTGCATGTGGCTCAGACATTTCAAATTTAGCAGAAGCAGCTCTAGACAGTAAATAAACCTGCGGACTGGGACATTCTAACTCTAAGATTATTGGTTCCTCGGTATCTCTGGAGAAACTGAACATAATTCTTATTGGCTTGCAAAGCTTTGAGGTCATCTCACAGATTTTTATTTTACACCTTCATATTTTCAGACATACAACACAAAATAAAAAACAAATTTTGACGATATGGGACCATTAATGTGAGTCTAAGTGAAGACTGAAGCAAAGCAAACATTCTTGTTTAGCTTTTGGTATGCTGACATCTGCAGTGAGTGAAAGATTAAAATTGCACAGCAAAGGGTGAAATTCAAGGCAAACAAACATGCTTTAACATAAGCTACAGTTAATGTCATGCTGGCTTAGTACTGACTGGAACAGAATGACATTTAGAGTCAGTCACCGCTACAAAGAAAACATGCGTATTATTGATTACCAGTTTGTGCAGGAGGCTCTTGAACTCCAGAGCCATGTGTTCAGGACTTGGTCCCTGCAGCATCAGCAGCACTTCTCGGTCCAGAGTCTCGTCCAGCGGGGAGGCAAAGCTCATGGTGGTGGACAAATGGTCGACTCCGTGAGGAGCCTGCAGAGGATCGATTTTAATACGAATGAGAAAAGATTCTCGAAAGGATCGCTGCATCACACATTCTATTAATTTTCTATTCACTTATGTACTTGTTTTTCTTGTTAACCTGCATGTATATAGGTGTATGTGTATATATTCTTTTTTTTAATCATCTCTTTTTTGTACTGTTTATGTAAAAATGCATTTATATATTGCATTTTTAATTTACATTTTTTTAAATATATTTTTTCTTTTTCCCTCTTCTTCTTGAATTTCTTTCTTACTGTTCCTCCACTCCTATTTTCCCTTTTTTAACCTCATTTTCATTACTATCTTTATATTCTTACTACTATTATTTCCCTTTTTTCTTAAAAAAAAAAAAAAAAAAAAAAACTATTATTTATTTACTTTTGCACGTATGTGCATGCATACGTACACATATTTAACACAAACCCTCGTCAGTTTCTTAAATAATTGGCTGCAAATGTTGATGTGAACCCAACAACCCATGTGTTCTCCATAAAAATATAAATATTGCCGCATCTAATGTTAAGACAGGACTTTGCATTGTGTAAGGAATATGTGGGAAACACCACACAAAGCTTCTCAGAACTGCATCTAGGATCAGAGACTATAAACTGAGATGAAACAGCACAACCAATAATAGCCGTTTGGTGTGACTGAGCTTTCATGTGTAGGGATGCGTTCGAGTCTATGAATTCTCCTTCACAAATTACAAAAGCAATGCACAGAGGAATGAAAATACATGTAGGTAAACTGAGAGAGGAGGCATCAGGTGAGTAAGAGGCATGAGACTATGAGCCAGAACGAGGGAGGAAAAGATAAAAGAAAAGGTGAGCAAATGAGCAGTAGGGGAGTGCTGACCTCCAGTGGCGACTGAGCCAGAGCCAGTTCTGTTTGCAGGGATCCTAAGCTGCTCTGGTTCATCCTGTACGCCACCGACAGAGACAGACTCGCCCTGAGAGAGACAATGAGAACATGAAGGGAGGTGGGGTGCTAACAAGTTATTTTTAAACAGCCTTTTAAACAGTTATTAACCTCGCATTCTTCGTCAGACGCCTACGTTTTCCAAATCTAGCACATTTCTGCAAGACTGTGAAGTACGGGGTGCTGTCGACTTGTTCTTTTATGTAACGGCACCGTATGCTTTCACATATTTGGACAAGAAAAGAAGAATTTTGCCTTTTGAATGAGCCAAAACTGTAGCTGACGTGACAAATTAATCATCTTTAACCTTCTGAACTCCAAAACCAGCCGGCAGGTTGGAGAACAATGATATCTTTAAGTAAAAAAACAAAAAAACTAAACAAAATTACACCATTTATCAAAGCCAAAGAGAGCTTTTTTTAATCTTCCAACAGTCCTTGAACTAATCATCTGTGAATTTCAGTTGCATTGGAAAGTTAACCCAAGCGTAAAATAGTGACTCACTTAAAAATTTGCCAAAAAGGAACACTGTGCATGAACCAGGTTCTGTTAAAAATAAAAAATTTGGGGCTTTATGATACAACTGTGAAGCCATCAGTGACTCAGTTGTGACTAACACTGACATGACAAATATTCAGAGAGTTTTCGGCTGAACTGCAGGCTGTGTATTCACAGAGCAGATTGTAGGCAAGTATAGAAACTGATTAAAAATGTAAGTAAGAAAATATCTGCAGCATGTAGAGCCACTATTTTTTCCCACAGTATTGCTAACACTTGTGGGCATATGGAAACTGTTTTAAATGTTGATTTCAGGGTTTTTTTCCCCCCCATTTTTTGTAAAATAAGTAGAAATTAAACTTACATTTTTTACTTATTTTTATTTTTTTAAATGATGTGTGAGAGTTTAACTCCGCTACACAACACAACAGACATTTTTGAGCTCCCTATTCTTCTAGTCATGGTTGTGCTGTTTCCATAAAGATGGAGGACTTTATGTTGCTGTGAAAGTTGAGCCTACAGTGAGAAGAAAGTGACCAAAAAAAAAAAAAACACCCAGAAACTGATTGGAGCTCAATGGGGTAATTTGATCACAACACCAAAACTTCTAAAAAAGTTTTGTGGTTTCTCTTCCAGAACAACTATAATTTGGGTCTACTTTTCCCCCCCTGCCAGGCTCCTGTTGGTTCACTTACCCAGCCAGGTCTGGGAGAATCATCTGCATCTGGTTCTCCAGTTTGCTCTTGTCCACCCTCAGCAGCTGGAGTCAACAACAGAGAACACAAACCGTGACTCATTCCAGCCCATCAGATATTTATAGCTCAGCTACGCTTTCTCGACAGCACACAAACTTTAAGAGCCGAGTGTCGAAAGACAGCAGGTGATTTGATTCCCACAGCTGAAGTCAACAACCAGACTTCTACTGACAAGCTTGTTGGTGACTCACACAGTGGACACAGAGGCCTGTTTGTACAGTAAAAACACTCGTATAACACGTTTAATATGCAGCTTTTGCTAAATCAAAATGTCATGCATCACACTTAAGACCGAAAAATAAACACTCTCGGGTTTGTACTCACCATTTTTTACGCAGAATTTTCAAAATACAAAATACAAATGACAAACAAGGGGGATTCAATTTAAGTGTCATTGTCCCGGTGGCCCAAAACGGTACAAGGAGCGTAAGAAACGGCCTCACCAGCACCAAGCAAAGCGCTCAGGAAACCAGCAAAAGAGCATCTGTGAGAAGATGGTGGGAGGTGTTGATGCACAGACGCTGAAATAATGACACAGTGTGAAGTTCAACGTACTGACCTCTATGATGGAGGCGTATTCCTCGACTGCCGCCTTCAGCTCATCTATATGTCGGCTCTTCTGCGGGAGGAGGAGGAGGTAAGCGGCGCCAGATCAGTTTCGGTTTTAGTAGTGAAACAGAGAGCGGGTTGCTTTACACCCAGATCTATCAAAGTCACGTAAATGCTGAGAAACTTGTCGATGCAAGTTTGTCTCATCTCATCATCTCTGCTGCACAACATCTATTAGTAATCTTATTTACTACTGGGAAATACCATATTATAGCTTATTATAGATGACACTCTGGTGCAACATTACAGTTAAATCTGTGCATTTCATTCATGCCACTGCAGCGCCTCATCTGTGCAGTCAGCTTTACATTTAGTGTTTATATTGTACTTTTTCTACATTTTTCTATATTTATCCTTTTAAACAATGAATGTTTTGTGGTTTTGCGTGTTAATAGTTGCACTTTCAATGCAACAAGTGGAGCAGCACTTTGAGAGACTGTACACATGAAGGAATTTGCAAATGAGTTGCGTTTCCTAAATGTTCTGACCCGTATTCGTGCCTCAAATTCTGTTCGAGTTAAATGTAAAAATGTTGGTGCCTTTGAGGCCTGTTCAAGCAGAAGACCATTCCATGTTGACGAGATGTCAGTTTTTACAACTTTAAATATGCTGTGGGTTGACGAGTGATTAAATGGATCCGTCTGCTGTTGGATTTCTTTACAGTTATAATAGTTGGTAATTGTACCCACGTCTGATGCTAAATGCAGTATTAAGTTCCCTCGTTTTTGATTTTTATGCAGATGTGAGGGCGAAAACCACGGCAAGAGATGTTATCAGGTTGCCCATTTGCCCAAAAAAATTTAAAAAAAAAAAATCATTCTCATGAACTCGTTGAAGGGATTTTGTCAAATTTGGCACAAACTTCACTTAAGGATGAATATAAGAAGTTTTCGTGCCTGTAAAACTCTGACAAGAATTATTGTTTTTGGGCCAGAATGCAACTCATTATTTGACATCTGTTTCAGGGAACTCTGGTGCAAATTTTCACTTGAACTTGAGGAAGAACTGATTTTGGTGGTCAAAGATCACTGCAACCTTGCAAAATACAAAACAGAATTCATACATTGCTTAAGACAAAAATGTCTCACAGGACAAGATGCTGAACTGATGATCCAAAAGGCCAAAAGTCAGCCTCATGGTAACATCACAACAATCTGTAAAAAACCCTTTTCAAGCCATTATTCAACACCATGACACAGGAAGATGGATGTAAACTACAACTTGAGAGAGACCAAGAGGTGGCGATTGTAGTATTTAATCTATCGGAGTGAAACTCAGCAGTTGAAGCAATTAAAAAAACTGTGAATGCGTTCACGTAATTTCAGGTGAAGGATGATCAGAGCTGCAACAAATAGCTCCAACGCAGCAGCAAAAAAAAACGGATAATTAAACAAGCCAAGGCACTGACCTCTAGTATCGCAGCTTCCTTTTCACTAACGACCGCATCAAAAGAGTGAATTTGCACCTGAGGACGGGGAAAGAGCAGTTACATAACCACACAAAGAAAGCGCGGCGACACAGTATTTTTAACACGGCTGAGGCAGACTTTCAATTAGAAGGTCACAGTTTGAAGAAAAGAAAAGGCAGATTCAAAAAAGCGCCCGAGGCGACGGGAAACGGAATAAGAGAAGGGCGCCGCGCGAGAGGGCAGGGATGTAATAACCAAGCAAAATATAAAAAAAGGATCGTGGTCGGACAGCAAAGGTACCTGAAGGTCAGCGTTAATGTCACACAGCTCCGTTATCCTCTTCTGAAGCTCGTCCGTCTCCATGGTGACCTTGAAGTTCTGGGAAGCCGTCAGAGAGGCAGAGTCAGAGCGGCTGGTCACATCCTCTCACCGGCAAAGTTGCAGAAATAAACTCTCTTAACAAATCTACAAATGTATCGGCGAGGTCGACTGACGCCTGTGAAGTCACAGATTTTTACTGTTCTGCTGCCAAAGGTCGGGTTCAGTACCTCTTCCTGAAGAGCAGCGATCTTGGCAATGAGACTCTGGTTTTCTCTCTCCTGAAAAGAAGGAAATCAATCAATATAATGCACATAGCTCATCCTGATCTTCTGCTCTATTACACTCTGAGTGTTGGTGCATTAAAATCTTGTGTGGAACAGTTTGAACATGTCCAGATTTGGGATCTGGACTTGTAGACAGCTTGCACATTTGAGGTGCACATTTGAGGTGCACAACAATTTTATGAACTAAATAGTATGTTAGATATACTGTATAACCATTTGTCTCCATAAAGCCTGCATTAGAGCTCTGCACATCAACTCTCTGAAACTCTAAGTCTCCAAAAAAACACCATTTATCATAGCCAGAAACTGTAAAACCAACCTTTTGATGGCAGTATTCAACAGACTGTAACTTTGACTCTCTCATCTCTGATTTAATTAGACAGATATTTCTCCTTTTACTCTCCATATAAACCTTTTTTAAATTCTAAAGATCCTTGATTATTCCACTATTATCCTCAAAACAAAAAAAATCTGCAGAATGAAAACATCTATCAGAGCCAGAAACTGTAAAAACAGTTGTGACGATTCTTGAATGAATCGTGTGTGACGTGCCGTTCCCGCTTTAACCGGCGAGAATGAAGCAGGTGTCGCCTCAACCCAGAGGTACCTGCTCTATATCAACACTCTGCTCATTTGGCTTGTGTTGTCGTTGTATCGCAAAAACCTGCTTTAATCGTCTTTTCAACCTTGTTGACTCCAACCTTGTGTTTAATGCAAAATCCAGAGACTTGCAGTTTAGTTTTTAAAAGTTTAAAAGTTAAAACTGCCAACTTCTGAAAGATTTGTGCTTGATCTCACCAATCTTAATCCCAAATCCAGTCCTGCACTCAACTACAAACCTTACAGTTGTCAACAGAAGTTTATATACACCATGCATATCATGGCAGTCTTGAGTTTTCAATGACACCTATGACTCTTACATTTCCATCAAGACATCACTAAAACTCATGCGTCTTTGTCACACACAAACAAAAACAATCACTTTTGGTTCCTTCATAAATCTACGACAAGTCTTCCAGAAATGGAAAGAAATGAATAAATCAGACTAGAATTAAGATTTTCGACTGCTCCCCCCCAAAGCCCTGACTTAAACCCCATCGAGAACCTGTTAACTTGAATGAAAAAACAAATCTGTGCCAACAAATTTAGCTTAACTGCACCGATTCTGTCAGGAGGAAAGTCAAAGATTCAACCAGAAGCTTGTGGACGGAAACCAAAAGCACCAAGTTGAAAGTGGACATTCAACCAAATCTTAGCATTGCTGCATGCATATTTTTGACCCGTCAGATTTGATCATATTTCCAGAAGACCTTTAATTAAAGGTCCTAGATTCCAGCACAGAAAATCAAGAGTTATGGGAGTCATTGGGAGTGTAAGACTGCAATGATATACGTGAACATAAAGCAACTTTCGGGACAGCAGCTATTCACAGAAGAGCTAAACCTACTTAAGATTTAGAGCAAGTAAGAAGAAATATGGTGATGTGCAAAATATACAGTACAGAAAATATGCAGTGGGTCTGAATGTAGAAGATGTATGATGTGGAAAATATGGTGTGCAGAAGATAACTTGCATATCTAAAATAAATAGCCTTTATAAGAAAATGTCAACTTTCTGCAACCCATCTAAACTACAAATCAAAGCAGTGGGCTTCATGTAAACTGTTTCACAAAGGATGCACACTTGCATATAAATCTGTGGCAATGCAACACGACAGAGAAAAACAGTACATGGTTGTATTTTACAGGACTCTGGACTGACCACGTGTTTGCTGTGCGCGGAGGCTCGAGCTCTGCCTTCCTCTGTGCAGCTCAGAGTGGCTTTCATCTCTTCCACCTCCTCCTTCAGCATCTTCTCCTTCTGTGCCAGCTGCTGGTTGCTGTGAGAGGACAAACGCAGGTGAAAATGCGTACAGAAAACACAGCACTCGGCGTGTTTGCGCGTCAGCTGTGAGCGTCGTACACTCTGGCCTGAACGCGTAGGTCCTCGTTCTCCTCGGCGAGCTTCTGGTTGCTCTCCTCCATCCCCTCCACCGCCTGCTTCAGCTTCCTCACCTCCTCCTGGAGCTTCTGGTTGCTCATCTGGAGGTCAGCGACACAGTACACCAGCTCTGATGTTTCGCTGAGGGGAAAACGTAAACAGAGAGAGACGGGAGCTCATTTAAAGCTGCAATCATACAGTCAAGAAGCCACACCTGACCCAACAATTATTCACAGAAGACTTAAAGGAAGGCAATAAAAACATTTGTAATATGAAAAATATACAGTATAGGACACAAAAATGCAAAAATGTAGATTTATAATGTAATAAAATATATACAGTGTGCAAAAAATGACTTGCACATCTAAAATCTCACACAACATAAAGTAGAAAATGTACATATATAAACATAAATAAACATATGGGCATAATGCAACTTAGCTTCAAAGGCGTGTGTGGGCGGTCACAGACACAAACTGTGCTGCAGGTTTACACAAATGCAAACAAAAATCAGACTATTTCATGCATCACTTACAATTCTGCTCTGGACGCTTCCCCTCCGAAGGCCTCCAAGCTTCCTGAGGTCATATTGAGCAGCATGGACCTCTTGGCTGGAAAAAAAAAAAAGATTCAAGTTTTAATTGGATGCAATCGGATGCATGTACAACACCAGGAAATGAAAAGCAAACATATGAGCCATTATATTATATATTCACCAGACAGGCTGTCTCTGAGCTTCACCGAGTCCTGCGTGAGGTCGTCGACAGACTCATCTCTGAAGCAAAACAGAGAAATTTTAAAATGCAGAAAGTAAGAGATCTGTCCCACAAATCTGGCAGTTGTTCCACTGCACCAGTCCGGCTGGACTCTTGAAAACATGTTGGAACTTTTTGATAACTGGCAGCTCTCAGCTCAGTCTGACACTCTATGGATGAACACATATGCTCTGGCAGCACAGGACAGACAGATTTACACTCATTTAAAAGTTGTTTTATTCGATAATAAATATTCATAAACGTTAGCATGTGAGCACATTTTGCCTACATTTGATGGAGAGACCCTTTGGCGTGTTCGTAACGGGAAGCATGATTACAAAATACAGTCATAGCTCTGAAAATTATGAACTGAAGTCGCATCGTCCCTCACAGGTTTGTCAAAATGTCATCAATTGCAGAATACATACATACAATTTATTAATAACTCTCTGAACTCCAGGCAGTTTCTGAGCATTGTTTGATTCCGTCACATTTTTACTCATTGTTCTCTTTCTCTGTTCTCGTGGATTAATCGTAGCAACTGGACTTGCTTGAGTTCCTTGAAGACGTTCCACCTCTCATCCAACAGGCTTCATCAGTTCTGACTGACTAGTTGGGAGTTCCACATACTTATATCCTAAAGGAGCCATAAACTGGGGGTTTGTTGCTCCTCATCCTCGTCATGTGAGTCGTTAATGCTCCCCCTGCCACAAAGGGGTTCGTTAGGGTCTTTTGTGGCTCAGTGTGAATGTGGTTTCATCTTCCTGGGGAGAGACATTAGGACTGGATTGTAAACAGGTGAGAGATGATGCCTCAGACCTCCACCTCTGTTAAGGGATGGTCTTTCCAGTTTGACATTAGATGGCTTCTTTCACCCCTCTCTCAAACCATCTGTCCTCCCTGCAGGCCAAAATCTGTACGTTGTTGTCCTCCAATGAGTGTCCTTGGTCCTTGAGATGTAGGTGGACTGATGAGTCCTGTCCTGAGGAGGTGGCTCTTCTGTGCTGAACCATGTTTAGTCTCCCCGATGTACAGGTCTGGGCATTCCTCACTGCACTGGACTGCGTCCACCACGTTGCTTTGATTGTGTCTTGGTGTCTCGTCCAGTTTCTGTCTGAGGGTGTTGATGGGCTTGAAGTGCACTGGAATGTGTTTGTTAAAAATCCTCCCGAGCTTTTCAGAAACTCCTGCAACATAAGGGGACGACTATGTTGTTTAGCTTCTTGGTCTTTTCTTCTGCCAGTCGGTCAGAACTGATGGAGCCTCTTGGATGAGAGGTGAAACGTCTTCAAGGAACTCGAGCAAGATTAATCCACGAGAATAGAGAATAATGAGTGTAGATCTCATTCGGATCCCGAGGTCGATGGCTAGACTCTTCTCTGTGGTTCCACGCTGGTGGAACGAGTCACTAAACTCTGTTCAATCTGCTGACTCCCTCTCAGCCTATAAGAAAAGACTAAAGACCAGCTCTTCACTTTGCATTTGACAGCCCGAAAACAGACAAACAACAAACAAAAAACAAAACAAAAAAAATCCTATTACCTCCCACACAGCCTGCTGTTGGCATCAACGCCCTATCACACTTGAACTTTTTCTATGGCACTTATCTAGATTGTTTTCTCCTGACTAGATCCTTGCTTGTGTTGTATCTGCTCTCAGACGTGCATCGCTTTGGATGAAAGCGTCTGCCGGCAAAAGAAATAGTAGAATTGTAGAAATTGTAGAGAATAACCATGACCTGGATGACTGAGAATCTTCACAGACCTGTTCTCTTTCTTCACTGCAATATAAAATCCTGCACTTCTATGGAAACAGCACAAACTATTTTTTTAAAAATCCATCCATTATCTATACACCGCTTAATCCTCATTAGGGTCGCGGGGGGGCTGGAGTCTATCCCAGCCGACTTAGGGTGAAGGCAGGAGACACCCTGGACAGGTCACCAGTCTATCACAGGGCCACATTTAGAGNTTATGAACTGAAGTCGCATCGTCCCTCACAGGTTTGTCAAAATGTCATCAATTGCAGAATACATACATGCAATTTATTAATAACTCTCTGAACTCTAGGCAGTTTTTTTTGATTCCATCACATTTTTACTCGCTATTCTCTTTCTTTATTCTCGTGGATTAATCGTAGCAACTGGACCTGCTTGAGTTCCTTGAAGACGTTTCACCTCTCATCCAAGAGGCTTCATCAGTTCTGACTGACTAGTTGGGAGTTCCAGATGCTTACATCCTAAAGGATCCATTAACACCTGAGTTTTGGTTTCAACTGGGGGTTTGTTGCTCCTCCCCCTTGTTATGTGGGTTGTCAGTGCTCCTCCTGCCACAAAGGGGTTTGTTATGGTCTTTTGTAGCGAGGTGTGAATGTGGTTTCATCTTCCTGGGGAGAGATCTTAGGACTGGATTGTAAACAGGTGAGAGGTGATGCCTCAGATCTCCACCTCTGTTGAGGGATGGTCTTTCCAGTTTGACATGGATCTCTCAAAGCATCCGTCCTCCCTCACCAAAATCTGTACGTTGTTGTCCTCCAATGAGTGTCCTTTGTCCTTGAGATGTAGGTGGACTGCTGAGTCCTGTCCTGAGGAGGTGGCTCTTCTGTGCTGAACCATGTTTAGTCTCCCCGATGTCCAGGTCTGGGCATTCCTCGCTGCACTGGACTGCGTACACCACGTTGCTTTGCTTATGTCTTGGTGTCGTGTCCAGTTTCTGTCTCAGGGTGTGCTTGAATTGTACTGGAATGTGTTTGTTAAAAATCCTCCTGAGCTTTTCAGAAACTCCTGCAACATAAGGGGACGACCATGTTGTTTAGCTTCTTGGTCTTTTCTTCTGCCAGTCGGTCAGAACTGATGAAGCCTCTTGGATGAGAGGTGAAACGTCTTCAAGGAACTCAAGCAAGATTAATCTACGAGAATAGAGAATAGTGGGTGTAGATCTCATTCAGATCCCGAGGTCGATGGCTAGACTCTTCTGCTCTGTGGTTCTGCGCTGGTGGAAGGAGCCACCAAACTCTGTTCAATCTGCTGGCTCCCTCTCAGTCTATAAGAAAAGACTAAAGACCCAGCTCTTCACTTTGCATTTGACAGGCCGAAAACAGACAAACAAGAAACAAAAAACAAAAAATAAAAAATCCTATTACCTCCCACACAGCCTGCTGTTGGCATCACCGCCCTATCACACTTGAACTTGCTCTATGGCACTTATCTAGATTGTTTTTCTCCTGACTAGATCCTTGCTTGTGTTGCATCTGCTCTCAGACGTGCATCGCTTTGGATAAAAGCGTCTGCCGGCAAATGAAATAGTAGAATTGTAGAAATTGTAGAGAATAACCATGACCTGGATGACTGAGAATCTTCACAGATTTATTCTCTTTCTTTACTGCAATATAAAATCCTGCACCTCTATGGAAACAGCAAAAACTATTTTATAAAAAATGTAATTATTTTTTCAGAATGACACCTAATAATACCATAAATCACGGGTGTCGAATCCTGGTCCTCGAGGGCTGCAGTCCTACATGTTTTAGATGTTTCCCTCTTCCAACACACCTGATTCAAACGATCAGGATCGTTATCAGGCTTCTGCAGAGCTTGATGATGAGCTGATCGTTTGAATCAGGATTGTGGCCCTCGAGGACCAGGATTCGACACCCCTGCCATAAATCCTAAGAAAGAAAAGTTGAATTTTTCAGATTTTTTAAAAAAGAAACCTGGAATCAACATGTACAACATTTTGGAAGTGTCTCCAGGTGTTACTAATTCTTGTTTAAAAAAAAAAAAAACGATTCTACATATAGATATTTTACTACTTGCATTTTTATTTGTTTCTCTGCTATCCGCTCCACGTTCAGCCGTAAAGTCCCTGAGTTTTTTGTTTGTAGCAGCTAACAGCTTCACAGTTGTGCAGAATTTTTAGCTTTTTACTCGATCTGTTTACTGCAAACTGTTTATTTCTTTTGGCATTTTAAAAAAAATGAGACATGAAGAATTATGTGATTTCAATAAAATATAAAAATGTAAAGTTCAGATTTAGTTGTTTCCCCTGATTGAACTGTCACTCATGATTTGTTCAAGAGTCCTCTGAAACTTGGAAATCCCACAATTCTTTCCGTTTTGACAGTTTCCGCCTGCGGTAAATGGCGATTTCCTAAAGACAACACCTTGGTTTAAGATTTAACTAAACTACTGGGATCTGCGTATTTTCCTAATGGCTGTGCTGAGAGTTAAAGAATAATCAAAGCAGAGGTGAGGGACACAAAGTGACGTTGTTAAATTCTGCTAAAACTTCTCAAAAAAAAAAAAAATTCTCACCACTAACGTCTCGTCTGATTCACAACCCGCCCACGCAACGTCAACTTGCATAACAGAAAGTATGAGTGGCTGCTCTCCTCTGAAAGGCTACAAAGAGACACGACACGCTCGACTTCTTGGGCCACGAGGCTGAAAATAGCGCAAACGAATGGAGGCCAATTTAACAAAACGTTTACTCGCAATGCAGATCAGAACGTTAGCCCACGTAGAAAGGAAGAAAGTTTGTCAAAAAGATATCAAAGTGGAATCCTGTCATGAGTCACTTTGGCAAAAAAAAACTGCAGGAAACTGTGCATTTTTCATAACTCTACCTAAAAACATTGCACCTCTGAAACTGCACCAGTTTCACTACGAAAGCTCAAAACCTCCAACTGAAATTAGATGCAAAATATGACTCCTAAAATGAAGCTTGTATCTTATTAAACAACCAATTAATCCAAGAGTTTATACCTCAAACTATGTGTGTACAAAATTGGATTTCCCCACCTAAACCCTCAGTATTCTCATTTGTAAATATGACAGAGTACCCGTTGTTGCGGCAGTCTTCGATCCACTCCCTCATGACGGCGTGATACGTGTCCAGATCAATGGAGACATCTTTGTGCTCCGGGTCCAGCATGTTGCAGAGCTCCTCCAGCCCGCTGTCCTCCGAGCTGCGACTGGTCGTGTGTCGCAGGTAGTCGACGATGTGAGAAACGTACACTTTACCTGGAAAGATTGTGGGACGGTTTAGTCTTGTTAGAACACATGTGTGTGATTTTGTTTACTTTGTGTGCGATCATTACTTTGCAGGCTCGTTCATTTCCTCACAACATTCTTGTCCATTTCAACTACAGTGGGTTTTTTTTTCTCTCTTCCTTCATTTGAACACCCCCAGATAGGCTGTGACAAATCGCGGTTATAGGTGTAGGCAGCAGAAGCAGTAGCCATGGCGACAGAGTTAACTTTTTCTTTTTTTTTTTTGGTACAGTTGGTTTCACACATTCATGTGAAGTGCTTCAGAACAGCAGCTGAAAAACAATTTTTCTGCTCTGACACACAATGCATTCAATCAGAATATGACAAAATAACAAATACAGTCCATCGCAGGCTCCGAGTTACGCACATTTTGCAGTATTTTACTTCTTTATTTGCACATTTCTGGTTGCATTCTGGGCTCTCTTTGCACACAAAATCAGTATTCGTGTATATTTTATGTTAATGTTATCTTTCTCCTGATGTTCCTGACATCTTTGCACTGTTCCCTTTGCAGGATTACTAAAGGTTTACCTACTATCCTGTTTGCATATTTACGTTTGCACATTTCTTTTTGCATTTTTTCAAGCACAAGCGAAAAATTTTAAATACACAACGCCTGAGGGGGCTTTTACAAAACAAGATTAATGGGTTAGCGAGGTATGTTGAGCCTAAAGCCACAGTTATCAGAATTTCTTTTAACCTGCAAGATGCTAAAGAGGAGGTTCTAGTCAAAGTTTTGGAGCCGAACTAGTTATAAGAAGCACCAGTTCTTTTCGTGATCACACTCTGAGCGGTGCAGATTCTCAATTGAGGAAATATCTGCAAACCTGTTGAGCTCTACGTCAGTAATGCCACCGAACAAAGCTGTGAAGTTACTTTAGCACAAATGGTACGAGAACCTACGTGCATTCAGTTGTTGATGCAGAAAATGCATAAATATGCTTTTAAGCTTGGTCCAGTTTTACACTGCAGGTGCCGCAGCTATTAAAACACAAACAAGGAAACTGATTTGTCTGACCATATTTATCAATCAATAACATTAATTTCACTTTGATTTGGGTACAAACTAAAGTGACGTCTACATCTTCTTCATTATGTGATAGCATCAGGCCTAAATGCACTTATTTAGGATCATGATTAAATGTACAAACTTTGAAATTTCACAGCTTTAATGTTCAGCTTTCACATTAGAAATAAGCAGCAGTATCGAGAGTGTACCAAATGTTAAAATAAATACAACAGTTTTCTACCAGCATTCTTGTCTTGCGTCACTTGCAGTGTATATTTCCATTATAAGAGCCTCTAGACTGAAGTAGGTGACACCAGATTGGTTCATTTATGCAGAAGAAGAGTCAAATGGCGCCATAAACGTCCCTTTTATGGGATGCACACGGAAACAGACGAAGACAACAATAAAAACTGAGAACTACTGTCATGCTTTCCATTATTGCTGCTTCAGGTTTTAGGTTTTGTAATCCAGCTGATGCAAAGCCAGCCTGGCTACCTGCTCCGTCGTGCACCCCTTCGCCCTACGTTGCACAACGCATGTTACAGAAGTCTTGACCACAGCTTTCACAACCCAAGAGCACGTTTCTCACTCAAGGACAACAACCTGCAAGGCTCCAAGACTATTTTTATATGTTTAAAAACAGTAATATTCTCCAAAACTGTTCAGTTTGATGAACAATAAAACACAATGCTGAAATAGGAATCCGCTAAATTTCCACAGCAATACTTTGATTAAAAAAAAAGGTTAAATCAGAAACCAAAAGCTGAATCCTAGTTTAGCTTTTCATAAGATCTATGCAATAATTTGTATTTTAACTTAAATACAATCTCTGAATCTGTTTTGCGTAAACATAGACCGACGAATAGCACAAACGTAAGAACACACTGCAACCTTGCTTATGATGAGATTCAGAGGTAAAGTCGAAGAAAGAAAGAAAAAGAACTCAATAGTTAAGAAACTTTTGGAATAATAATCAAAAACATTAAAAAAAAAAAACACCTTCAAAAATCAATAATCACCACCTTTCCCTACTGCTTTAAAGATTTAATACTCTATAAGTCTGCAGCACAACATGATTCCTCCCAGAAAAGGCTTAAAAATGTTGAGAAAACAAAGAACTGGAGTTAAATTAAATTAAAAAATATCTGCGTTGCCACTGACAGGAAGCACAAGAGGCAGACAGAAGAGATCCTGTATGACTCTGAGAGGGAATCACTTCAGCCTTCTACAGTAACAACACACGGCGTCACACTCAAGGACGAGTTATAATTCGTCGTCGTTTGCGTATTCGGCCGGCTGGATGTCTAACGCGCGACCTCGTCGTTAGCTGACGTGTGGGCGTACCTCTGCGCTGAGTGTCACAGGCGTGGAAGATGGTATCGAGCAGATTCTCCTCGCAGATCAGACTGATTTCTGCCATCGTCTCCTTCCTGGTTTCTGAAGCGGCTGAAGGTCCTGAATTAGCATGAATGTGCAACACACACAGACAGGCAAACAGCAAACACAAGAGAGCATTGAGTTGGCAAGAAAAGCAAGCACATGATGTGTTTTCCTTCAGGGGCGGCAACAACGTTAACAGTACGACGGCCGGACGCGTTAAACCACAAATTTACATCAGACGGAGGCTTCAAGCTACAACTTTTTCTTTCTAAATTTATTACCCTGTTTGTTCTGTTTCATTATTTTATTATTCAAAGCATTTAATCTATGATCACAGGAAATACTGGAAAAATGTTTCGGAGCAAAAATCAACAAAATCTTGGTTAGTGTCACCTGATAAAATGACAAGAATGACTCACCTGTTGGAAGCGACTGTGTGAAAAATGAGCTGCTGGATCATCGTTTTACACTCATTTCTCACTTTTTTTTTTGTGGTAGTATCTATCGATTGATTTTCAGAGTTTCAGAGACGTACGAAACACGAGAGTCAAAACCTCAAATAGCCTCTTTAAGCCTTAAAAGAATGTGTACATTGAAAGAGCTCCCTATAATCTGCCCCTTCTGGCTGCGAAGCAATTTCAATTTCAGCGCTTTGCAAAGATGCATTGAAACATTCAGCAAAAGACAATGCGAGGACTCTATAGGAGCATCATTACATAAAGTATGCATCATGCATCTCTACCGTATGGGTGCGCACATGATATTTACTTGTCATGTAAACAACAACAAAAAAAAAACAAAACAAGATGGTTTTGCTGATGTGAAACCCCTTTTTTTTGCCCTTAAGTCAAACTTTCTTCGTGGAAAGGGAAGAAAAAAACTGCTCCAGGTCCTAAGTTGAAAGATCAGTTTAAACAACCTACAGTTTGGGCTTTTTAAATGTATTTTTGGGGCTTTTGCTGTTATTGTAGAGCAGTAGAGATAGACTGGAAAGGGGGGAAGAGACCTGCAGCAAAGGGTCATGAGCGCGAGTCGAACCCACGACCGCTACATCTGGGAACTCCTGTTTATAGGTCGATTCTGCATACGTCATACTACTTACATTTATTTACTTTTTCATACTTGTGTTGTCTCTGCTCGATACAACCTGCACTTAAGTGTTTTGAATTGTTGTCATGTGACTGTTGGTTGCAGCAGAGTCACAAACAGGTTCACAGCTGCACTAAAGAGTGCAGAGTTTTTAGTCAAATAGGTGAGCTACACGGGCGCCTAACAACCCACAGTTTTATAAAATCATTTTCCCTGCTCCCTACCTCCATCTCCCATGGACAACCTTTTCACGACCAGAGCCGGGTAGGGCAGCTCGCACTCGGTGGAGTTCATCATGTCCGAAGAGCAGAAGTTGAGGTTGTAGGACAGCGTGCCGTGGCTCGGGGTGAAGGTGCGAGACAAAGGAGGGCTCTCGCTCTGCCTCTCGGGCTGCACCGAGTGAGGTCCTTGCGTGAACGTAAAATAAGGGGAGTCCTTTGGCTGGCTCGTAGGGGTCGAACAGTACCTCTGCCATGTCTTGGCTTGTCTTAACTCGCTCCCGTCAGCGCCCCTCCTCTCCCCCAGGGTGCTGGTGATGGTGTAGGTGACGTTGGCCGGCGTGGAAGAAGCGTTGCACAAAGGGGTGGAAGGGCTGGATGAAGGGACACATGGACCCAGGCTGCTCCTCTGGGAAGCCGCGGAGCTCGGCATCCCGATCCCTCGGCCCTTCTCCCTCACCCTCTCCTTCCCCCTCTCCCCCTCGTCCCTGTGGAGAGCGCCCTTCTTCAGGATGGCCTCCAGGTTGTGCCTGAGGCCGCACTGGGGGCTGTCGTAGCTGCTGGACGAGAGCTTGGGGATCTGGAAAGGCGAGTTGGGTTCCCGGTCACCGCGCCACTGGATGGTCTGCAGCTTGCGGCAGATGCTGTCCACGGGGTTGTGACGGCGAGACGGCTGTGGCGTGCAGTAGTCCATGCTGCAGAGCTGGCGTCCTGGCGAGCGGAGAGGCTGAAGTCTGAGACAAGCGGAGAAGATCAGTGTCGCAAGTGAGGTTGGGTAAAAATGGAGACAAAAGAACATAACGAAACAGAAACAATGAGGAAGTCATGGTAGGTACGACCAACAACATGGGCTAAAGGCAGAAAATTAGCAAGAACAGGGTTTCAAATCATCAGTTTTTTTGGGACAATTTGAGCTCAGGCATCTCTGATATGCTTGAAACTGCGTGAAGAAAAATTGCACTTATCTAAAGCAGCATCTGTGAAGTTTTAGATTGAGAAATCAAGAGCTTCCTGACATCCAATTTCAGCACATTTCTATTTTTACACATTGACATTTGAGGCTACATTCGAATGACAGTGTGTCAGGAAAGAGTAAAAATAAAAGCCTGACATTTTTACAGTTATTTCTCATCATAACATCGATTCAAAATCTGCATTATTGGACAAGTGGATCAAATAATCTAATTACGGGTGAGCTGAAATATAAAAGAAAACTGAAGTCGTCGTGGAAAGTCCCGTCTTAAAATACACATTAACCAAAAAAAAAAAGAAAAAAGAAAAATGCAGTCCAGTGGGGATGTTTTCTGAACCATTTGTGGTTGTAGGTCACAATAATACCCAACAAAAACATATAATACTTTTTAATTATGACATAACTGGTCTCAAAAATGAACTTTCACAACTGATTGAGCAAATATGACAAAATGTACCACTGTGGGCCTAATCTGAATAGAAGAAAAGAGCTCTGGAGTTTCAAAAATAGTTCTCAAATATAATTAAGGAAGTAATTTTTGTTAATTTTTTCATTTTTGGAGCTCTTTAAAGACTTGATTTGAGATAAAATGACCCAACACAGTAAGATTGTGTCGACCAATTAGCATTTATTGAATCTAATCTTTCTATTAGTGCAATTTGTGACTCAAAAACGTATTGAAACCCATTTAAAATGAGCTTTATTGGCTCTCTCTATCTGTAGTAGGTGATCTGAGGTCTCAAGCAGCGTCCCACCCACAGCTGTCTGACTGATAACACGTCATGCAGTCTTACGTAACTAGATTCTGAAGCGTTGACACAAAAGTGTGTAGAATAGTCTGACTCCACCTCGCTATCAATCTGCTGTAAAAGGGGTAAAAAAAAAGCTCTATTTGTCCTTAAACCAGTCACACTTGTCTTCAAGAGGACTTTTGTTTGAACGTTTCCAAGCAGGGAGTCGAGCATTAATATGAATAATTCACTGAAAAAACACCCAGCAGGTTTATTTTACAATCCAAACCTTTGACTAAACTTGAAATTTTCACCTCGTCATTGTCGTTGCCCTTAACTAAGCAGGTTTTAAAAACTTTAACACATAAAAGCTGCACCTTATGCCTGCAATCTGCTGAGTCAGTCTTCACATCAAGCCATAATCGGCTTTCAACATTGAAGAAAAGATGTTGAAAAGCTCGTTTTTAATTAAACACTTGCAAGATAAAGGGCATTTTAATATGATTTTGGAGTCAGAGATGGAGTTATCCTGCATTTTGACACCCTTAGTTTCAATTTTACAGCAATTCACACAACATATTAGTCCCAAATATCAAATATCAGCTCCTCGATAACTAATAATCAGTATCGCAACTGGAAACAAAACCTAACATACACAGAATCTGGGATTTTTGGAGAGAAATATGGAGTAGCCAATCATTTAAAACAACATTTATGTGATAATTGAAGCCACCTAATGCCAAATAGACATAATTAGTTATGAGATTTAGAGGCAGGTTCAATGACAGGATGTAAAACAGGAGCAGAAGAAGGAAAGAAAGAAAAGCCAAATAGATGGAGTATGATATTATAATATCACCAAGAGCTTAATTAGTGACCATAAGAGTCCACAGAAGTATGCAAAGATAGTTTTCAAGGTTTTGTCAAGTCACCTGTCCAGGCTACAGGTGTGCTAACGAGCTAATTAATTCAAGGCTTTGCTGAACACTAAACGCATTTATTTCTAATATTTCTAATAAATATGTCGCTTTTCTCTAAAGCACCTCACTGTACTGAAAAAGAACGTCGCAATTATTTTAGAAGATATTAAAATATTTTTTTAGAGACACACATGCACACAAAAGCACATTTTTAAAAACGCATTTGAAGATGAAATTATCCGGCTGAGCTACAGGAGGCACTGAAATGTTTTTTCGTCACCGACTCGAGCACAAATGTGTGAAAACACAAACATGCACCTTAAGTTTAAAACAAACAAACAAACAAACAAATGCATCCTCTGTGCGTTTCTCGCTCTTCTTGTTGTTGTTTTTATCCAGAGGAATATGTAGATTTATTGTTACCTTGCCTGGTCTTCTGTGAGCAAATATCCACGACGAAATGTTTGTCCAAGTGTCCGCGAGCACACAGAGCACACACAGCACGCGCACAGGTAGCTCAGTGCTGCTGCTGAAGCGCTCGAGACGGCGAGTGCGAGAAGTGAGCCTGCACCCCCTCCGTGCGGCCGGAGGGGGGCACAGCACCCCCTCTGGAACAGCCCGAACCTCACACAGGAACAACGAACTGTGCAGTTTCTGCACTCTGATGCAATTTGGGGAGTTTTTAGCATCATTTTTTTTTGGTGTCTATGTCCTAATAAAAGCATAAAATTCAGGCGCTAAATACAGAAATCAAACTATAAGTCGAACTGACAATAAAGTAACTTTGACTTTGACTATAATGGAATATAAGGCAGTAAGGCATGCTGATATCCTCTGCTGTGTTGCATTCAATCAGCATAAACTAATTCCTAATACAGATAGAGGGTCTTTGCCATATAGAGAAAAATCTAAGAGTTTAAATAACATGTGTCCAAACTGGTGGCTAAATTCTGACAAAAAAAAGATTTCTTGTGCAGGAATAAATCACGTTTTCCATTGCATTGATTCATTTTTTTTATTTTCATTTGTTATTTTTACTGGATTACCGTGACATTTTATAGATCCATGCATCAGGTGTGACTCCTAAACTCTGTATTAAGACTTATCCCTGGTGATACTGGTGAGCTGAATGCTAAAAAATCATTTTATTTAATATATATATAATATTATATGCTATATTGACAAAAAAAAAAAAGCGAGTTTTTTACAATATTGAATTTCCCTTCTGGGATAAATAAAGTATTTTTCATTTTTCATTTCATTTCTTTTCATTTCATTTCATTTCATTATAAGGCCCTTACTGCCCTTTTTATTAAGTCACTGCTGTTTTAAAATGTAGTCTCTTATCAACATGTCACATTACTCTGTTGCATTGCAGGTTGTTCTTGCTGAGCTTTAAAAAAAAACTGTTTTATTAATTGTAAAACTCCTGTAACCTGGAATAACCTGCACAACAATCTAAAGCTGGACTCATTTTTATTCTTAGTGCAATTCAGGCCTTTAATTTAATCTTATTTTCCTTCTGGCTGCTCTTGTTTTAGTTCATTTACTTGTTTAGAAGTATTAAAAGTCCTTTTTTGTTATTGCTATTGCCATCCACTACGTGTTCACTTGCATGTTTTATTTTCCTACTTGCCTGCATTATACATGAAGTTCCCATATTTCAATATGCTGTAAATCCACTTTTCTCATTTGTGATTACCCACGATGAGTCAGCACATTCGATCTTCTGTCCTCTTTTTGCGTCTTTCCTTCGAGGAATAAGTAACCTCCTTCAAAGTACATCTACTCCTGTCAATGATAAATGAATTAATTTTAAACAACTTAGAAACTCGTGGACTTTGAAGGTGCAGGTTCAAAACTTTCCGCACATTCCAATCACATCACTCACACTGTTGTTCTGACAGGAATCATGTGGTGTGATTTGGGGTAATGTGCCCCCATTGCCCCCCATATTTACCCTCCTGACCACTAGAGAAGAGTCGATTTTCATTTCAGGTCGTTTCTTAGATGAGAGCAGCTTTAAATAGCACTGAAATCATTTCACTGTTCTGGAAAACGACTCGATGATGTCATATTTTGATAATATAAAATAGGCCTGTGTGTGTTTTTTTAATGAGGATATACATATATCAACTTTTTGTTTACTGTTTACATGAACGCCCTATAAAAGGTTATACATTGTTTTGAAACTTTCTGGCCCAAATGCATGTGTTCTAAACATTTAGGAGGAATTATCTCTTAAATCCCCTCAAAAATCTGCTCCTATGGATGGATATTTGTATTCTATTCACTTTCATAGCGTCTCAGAAACAAGTAGCCCTCAACTAAAACTAAAATAAAATAAAATAATAAATATAGAGAACAAAGAAAGACACTGTTTACCTAATTAGATACAGTCAATTCAGTTACTGGCTCAGTTTAAAAAGCTGCAAAAACTGCTTTTACATATAATATTTTATACTGTCTTATACGGTCTTTTCTGATGTTATAGTGTCTTTTCTCATGTTTTGATTGTCGCTTGTTAATGTTTTATTGTTGCTCTTTTGTGTGAACTACCTCATAAATCCGGTTCAGAAAGGTGCTCTAGAAATAAAGTTTATTATTATTATTATTATTTATGATATGGTGCCTCATATATGAGTCTATAACCTCACTAATGGACACAGGATTGCAGAGTTGTTGTTTTTTTTAAACTGTAAAATAAAATATGAGTATAAATTATGGGAGGAAAAAAAACAGAATTCGATCCATGTATGTTGTATAATATTTTGGATTTTTCACCTGGTGCATGAATTTTGTGTTTCCCCCTAACATGAATAAAGACATTAACACCAGAAATAAATGCAGAAAAGGCCCAAATCAGTGGCTCAAAACTCATCAGAATGCAAGAAATGATTACCCTCCAGCTCAATATTCAACTGAAGCCTCCATCCACGTTAGCAGCTCGTGTCATTTCATGTCGCTGAAACATTAACCGGACTGGGTTTGATTTCTGGTGTCGGTACAACATGATAACTGGTTTCAGCCTGAGCGATCAGTAAGCGGTTTAGCGGGTTCGACGCGAAGCCCGGTGATCAGACGCTTCTCCTGCTCTGAAGGTAACGTATCCTGAAGGTGACTAATGCTTAGACTAATAGTGCATTTTGGGGTTGATACTAGTGAGTCTTTGCACAATTAAAACAGCCAATCTAGTGAAGCTGTTGTGTGAAAGATTGCTGTGCCACCTTTTAACCTGTCCTTAACCTGTGTGCATTGATGTAGGTTCTGTTTGCACCTGTATTGTAGAGGTTTAAAGTAATATTTCATAACACTGTGATGGAAAACACTCTAATATAATGAGCTGTAATCAATATCTATCATGCATCACACAAGAAAAGTGCTTAATTAGAGGGGAAAAAAATGCTAATTATAATGCAAATTCATTGAGATTTGCAGTATGTTGTGAGGACATATTGTGCAAACTCCTCATGGTGAAGTAAAGAAAAGGAAGTTTATTGCTTGACGGGACAAAAGCTAGATATGCAATACTATTTAGTCTCTTTCCACTTCCTCGTGCTTTTATTTTCAAAGCCATCTCTGTATTGTTTAGATTGCAGATTGCAGAACCAGCCGCCCGTCCATCGCCCCAATGGCTGACAGCAGCACTCCGAGCTTCAAGGTAACCAAACCAGTCGTCTTAACGCGTTGTGGAACAGATCTGAGCACCTACCCTCAGTAGCTGCTCCAAGTGAAGCATCTTGATGTTTCCTTGGCGTCTTGATGCTTAAAAATCCCCCCTGTAGCTCCACACAGAAGATACTCCAGCGCTCATGTTGGGCCTCGAGAGCCGCAATCATGCAACAGTTTTCTTGTTACAACTTAAAAAGCACATTAAAAACTGATCTTGCAGAAATCCACTCGTTGTCAGCCTTGAGTGAGGCCGGTTGTTGCCATTGTTTTTTCTTGGAGGAGGCGGGTGGAGGGGAAACAACGTCCACCCGTCCCCTTCTTTCTTCTTCCTCGTGTGCAGCCTGCTCAGCAGAATCCACTTTCACAGCTCACGCTAAGTCTCTGCAGCTTTGCTTGTTTTCTGACCCTGAACACCTGAGCAGAAGGTAGCAGGTGGAGATTAGCGTGGACATGTGCAGACACTCGCATAGACACACGAGGGACGAGTGCTGGATGTTGTTTTCGGGGATGTGTGCCAACTTTTTGCTTCCACTGAAAGCACCGGAGTGGATGTTTGGTTTGTGGAGGGGAAAGTGTCTTAATTAACCCTCCAAACATTACCCCTAAACCCACCTTATATCAGTTTGGTTGAATTGTAATTGGAAAGAATGGAGTGCTTCAGTCACATCATTTCTACCTTCCTTCACTGCTTTCACTGAGGAGCCAAGTTCATATTTATAGCCGCCTAATCCCAGCCAAACACTGACTGGACTGTGTGTGTGAACAAAGGTACCGGCGAAGAAGGATTATGGGTCAGTCTGAGGACGGTGAGCTCTGTCACTGTTTCAAAAGGGGGCTGCTGCTGTGTTGTTATCTCGTGAAAAGGTCAAAATACTTGTCCAGACATGTTCATTGTAGAGGTTGATGTTTTACTGCAGAGAAGGTGCCGAAAAACAGCAGATTTATGTATTTGGGAATCAAAGCATTGATTATAATAATAAATGCAAACAAACACAGAAAGAAACTGCAGTATAGTATGCATTTTACACATTGCTGTACTGTTGTTGCTCACAACTTCCCAGTTCTGTAATCTGGGATTACGGTTCTGCAGGAGGAGGGAGGAGATAAAGCGGCGGTCTAATCCTTCTAACAGATAGCTAATAGTTGGCCAGCAAGACGTGTCTTGTTAAAGGAAGGATCACACAAGTGTTTTCCTGCATGCACCTTCTTCTTTTCTTCTTGAAATATCTTTATCTGCTGCACCACAGAGGCAGCTTGGAGCACAATGGACTCAGACACTCACATTTAACTTGATTAGACTCTGTTTACCGACCTCTGACCGCTAAATCGGCCGGCTGAGAGTGACACCAGCAATGCAGACGAACATAAAGCATCGCTCTGTCTTTGAGTGCAGTTTACTTCTAGATGTCCTGGTCCTGTTGATTCAGTTTTGCTGCCTTATTACAAGGGATGAACTGTGACTCTTTGAGTTATGCTGTCACACTGTTGATGTTACAGCGACCCCTGCTGGTCAAACGCAGTATAATCCAACATGACATCAACTGTTGCATCACCTCTGAGACTTCTCAACAATAAGGATCAGTCGCAAGCTTCTGTCACGTCTCGGCATTACAGGCAAGGATTTGGAAACAACCAAGAGGATCAAAACCTAAAGCGACAAACAACATGAAGAAGGAACACCGGATATAGAACATCGGTCCTGTTTATGGTGGATCTTTATCTGTTTAAAAAGTCCCATATTGTGCTCATTTTCAACAACTTGATTAAAGTTTCACACATCCCCAGAATGTGTTTTTCAATCTTCCAGCTCAAAATACCACAAACACAGTTAATTTCACCATGACTATGTGGTTTTTGTCCCATTCTACACAGGCTGTTTCAGTGTCTGTAGCTTGTAGAGTGGAGTAAAACAATTGACCACATGGCAGCCTTTTAGCTTTCTAATCATTTCACGAATATCGCAGAGTTTTTAACTCACGTGTCACTGTTAGACAATTGTAGTTTAGCTGTGCAAAGCAGGAACTAAAGTGACTGCTGGTAACCCTGTAGTCTTAACTGGCTGCATTTCAGTCACTGTTTCATTCTTACTCTGTTGTCTAACTGCAGAAATAAAAAATATGTAAATGAGAACAGCTTTATTGGGATTTTAGGATGTGTTCTAATGCAGTTTATGTGAGCACAGTGGCCGGGAGAGAAGCAATTGTCCCTTCGCATTACCCACGCAACATGCTAACACTAAAGGTGTTCCTATTGTTGTGGTGACATTGCCATCAATTTTAAAAGTAATACGCTGGAACATCAGTTTCTCAGATGCTGGGAGTACATGAAAACTCTTGTGTTCACTCTTGCAGCCAACAGCAGAACATTTGGTGTTTTTCGCTCGAGGCTGAGACATTTTAGAGTTAGCAAAAGCAGCTAAACAAAGTAAATAAACTTGGTGGACTGAGAGGCAGCTGCTAATGTAGTTTATGATTTTCTGTTAAAGGGGACCTTCAAAATGGTTTGTCCCAAAGGTTAATACAGTCTAATACAACATTTAGATTATTGTAAAGTGTCACCATGTTCTTTATTCTTTATTCTATTTGTTAACCAGGCGGCCGACCTGGTGATCCAGCTGACCTCCTCTCCAAAGACCAAACCGGACATTGGAGACTTTGGTACCGTCTTCACCGACCACATGTTGGTCATAGAGTGGAGTCTGGCTGAGGGTTGGGAGGCGCCGCTCATCAGGCCCTTTGGGAACCTGTCGCTCCACCCGGCCTGTTCGTCGCTACACTACGGCATTCAGGTACACTCACCAGCTAAGTTTATTTTACCTAATGCATCAAAGATTTAGTAAGATTTAAGAGGTAGTTAGCCACCAGTATTTCCTGGCAGACTAGTGAAAACAGCATTTAGACCTTTATACTGGAAAATAAACCCGCCACAGTTGTTTTATGGACTGTAATTTTCTAATTATTTCCTAAGAATAGCACTGAAACAAAGCATGTTGTCTTGTCTTCAAAAAAAGCTTCAATTTTTGTAAAATTTAAAGAGTTTTATGCAAAAATTCTAACCCAAAAATAAAATATTGGAGATGTCAGCAGGAGATTTTTGTATAACGTATGGCCTTTCTAAAGTAATTCTAAAATCTCAACTTAATGGTGAAGTAAACATAGATTTAAAGATGTCTAAAATTCAAAACAACATGCATGATAATGACAACTTGGAAGTAGTATGGAATTAACTTTTGAATTTTGAATTTGAGTTTTGAATTTGAGAAATAATTAGTCTTGGATATAACTTGAGTGACGTTTAAGCATCGTCTCTTGTCTCACCAGCTTTTCGAAGGTTTCAAGGCTTACCGTGGCGACGACGACCAACTGCGCCTCTTCAGACCGATGCTCAACATGAACCGAATGGCTAAGTCTGCTAAGAGAGCCTGTCTGCCTGTAAGAACGAGAAAATGGCTTAATGGAGGAACGAGTGAAAGGATAACTGACAGTGACGGACAAATTACTGATATCACTTCTTGCTGTCTTCCATCTTCCAGGCGTTTGATCAGGCAGAGCTGCTGGAGTGCATCAGGAGGCTGGTGGAGGTCGACCAGGACTGGGTTCCTCACTCAGACTTGGCCAGCTTGTACGTCAGACCGACGTTTATTGGCACTGAGGTGAGGAGGATCGAGACGGTTGAAGGTTTCTGAAGGTCAAAGTTCTCCTCCGGTCATTGATTAAATCATGTAAACTCACCTCTGTGTAGGAAAGTTGCATATTTATAGCTTTTTTTCATGGAAATAATCCTTTTTCTGCCTTAAATTGGCTCAGATGTAACTCTAAATGGATTCCTTCTTAAAAATTCATGCATCGATGAAGTCTCCGCCTCTTTTATCACCAATCTCTTTGCAGCTCAAGCACACCAGCTCACAGTGAAAGTACTCTATGCTACACAATGTTGCAGCATAGGAGCAATTCAGACACACATGCTGGAACCAGAAACCACATTTCTTATATTTTGTGAAACCCTGTCCATCTGAACACGTTCAACAATGACTTATCCAGCTCGTGATGTGTCTTCTAGTTGATCAAAAACACCATATTTAACTGCTATCGTGGTAGAAACATTGATTTTTGTTTGTGTGTTTGCGACAGCCTTCTCTGGGTTTAAAGAAGCCTACTCGCGCCCTGCTCTATGTGATTTTGTCTCAAGCCGGTTTTTACTTCAAGACCAAGGCGGAGGCCGTCTCCCTGTGGGCCGACCCAAAGTTCACACGGGCCTGGAAGGGAGGAACCGGAGACTGCAAGATGGGAGGGTGCGTAGGAACACACTGAATGCATGTTTTTACTCTCTGACAATCACTTAATGCTCTTTTTAATGCCTTTTCAAATAAATTTAGATGGATTGGTTAGGATATGGAGGTCAAAGGTCACTGTGACTTTCCAAAACCCTTTTTTTTGGGCCATAACTAAAAAACTGAAATGCTAATTATGACAAACTTGGAGGAGGCACTGAAGCAACCAGGCAGTGATTCTAGTTCTGTTGTAAAATGAGTCATGTTGTCTAGTTTTATACACTTTATCATTCAAAAACACACGTACTCCTAAAAATAAACAACAGCAACCACAAAGTAAAGCAACAGTTTGCCCTTAATCTATTGGAGTTATGAAGCAATAAAAATATGTTCAATCAATAAAATAAAATAAGTTAAGTGAAATTAACCTTTCCACATACAATCAAAGTGATGATCTGCAGCATAAACATATCTTTTAAAGATCATTATTCATAAAAACAGAGTTGTTCCAACTAGTATTTTGACAATATTAATTGTTTTTAAATAGTGTAATGCACTTTATTTTAATAATTTGGAAAGTTTTTAAGTTAATAGAATAAATAATAATAATAATAATTAAGTTGCTTTAGTATTTAGGGGAGTGGGCATGAAATCCTTACTTTAAGGTGAAGAAAAATAAATTAAAAAGCCAATTTCAAGGAGGTACCTCAACCTGAATTTAGCTTTAAATCAACAAATGTAAGTAAGTAAGTAATTAAATAAATAAATAAATAAATAAATAAATAGATAGTTCACATACACACAATATGAAGTTTTTGCAATTACCAACATTATTATGTCAACACAACTCATTTATTCTTTGCTTGCAACCGTGCATTTATTGATAGGAGAAGGTCTCTTGAATTATTTTGTAGAGTTGTGTCAGTGCACACAACTTACACAACTTTACATCTTGTATCTGAATCTAATCTTACACATTCTGCTCTAAAGTAACTGAACTAATCTCAGTTGTTGTTTTGGACTTCTTCAGGAACTATGGCTGTTCTCTGTCTGCACAGTATGAAGCAGAGGATCACGGCTGTCAGCAGGTTCTGTGGCTGTACGGAGACGATCACCAGATCACCGAGGCAGGAACCATGAACGTCTTCCTGCACTGGATCAATGAAAACGGAGGTTAATCGACTTTCATGCGATAAAAACCCAACTAACTAACTAACAGTGCAGCTCTGGATTACACAGTACAAACGTTTTATAAATCTGACCTCTAGTGGCAGAAAAGCTTCATTACAGCATTTAGGACAAACAGGGCAGCACTTTTTTCCCGTTTTACTCAGTTTTGTTTGATGTTTTTGCTTTATTGTATTAAATAATGTTTTATTATTATTATCATCAGAGGAGGAGCTTGCAACTCCACCTCTGGATGGTATCATTCTCCCAGGAGTTACACGACAGAGCATCTTAGAACTGACCAGACAATGGGTAAGAAAGGCACAAACATAAAAGTTCATTTTAATTGAATATTTCAACTGAACTCCAGAGAAATTCATCCTTTGCTCAGACATCCAAATGGACAAACACGGGCACTTTTAATAATAGCAATGCAGTAAAACTAATGACTAAACCTCAAAGGTCAACGTGCATTTTCTGAATTGTATGCAATGTAACATATGTGTGCAATATGTTACTGTATCTGTATATTGTATACTGTAATATGTTATTATTATCATTATTGTTATTATTGTTGCTGTTGTTGTTGTTGGTTTTGAATGATTTTGATTTTGATTTTGAATTTTGAATGCTGTTGTTGTTGCTGATTTTATGTTGGTGTTCTGTTGTTTTTTTTCTGGTGTAGCAATTTCAATAAAATTCAATAAAGTTTTATTCTAATTCTTTTATTCTAATTCTAAACTCCTCCTCGTACACTTTCCAGGGTGAGTTCGAAGTGACGGAGCGCTACATCACCATGGACCAGCTGTGCTCTGCTCTGAAACAGCAGCGAGTCAAAGAGATGTTTGGCTCCGGCACCGCCTGCATGATCTGCCCCGTAGGACACGTCGTCTACCAGGGAGAGGTATTCTCCACCTACCCTTCTACCATAAACCAGACTCAGTGACACCAGACTACGTATAGATTCACACAGAAATCTGTATTTAAACGAACACGCTCGCGGTGCATCGCTCGATTCTCAAGGATTAAACAAACAATGGATGTCAAGCTGGAGTGGAAGGGAAGCGGGATTTATAATAAGTCAGGCATTTGTGGTTTTAAAGATGACATATGTTGACATTTTACAGGAAATTATGTGGATAGATTTGCTCGTGTAACCACCAGCATGAAGACTGGAAACAGACAAGAGCAGCAAGATTTAGTCTTTTGCAATAAGTCACCCTGTTCTCATTTACATATTTTTTTTTCTTTTTGTTGTCAGACAACAGTACAAGCGTGAACTAGCGACTAAAACGTAGCACCTAAATGTTAACTGGCAGTCACTTCAGAGCCATTTCCACGCTGGGGCTCACAAACTCACCGTTCAGTTAGAAAAAAAACTAATTCAGCATGTCGAACAATTGCTCGAAGAGAAAGTTGGAAGCGATAGAAAGTCTGCTGGTTTGCTGTCAATCACATAAACAGAGAGTCTTGTTCCTGAAGGGGGGCGTAGACGTCAGCAACTGAGCTGCATCGACTGAAACTGCCTGTTTAGAACCCAACTAAAGCCAGAAATTACACAGTCATGGTGGAATGAACCATCTTTGTGGTATTTTAGACGATGCATTCAGGGGACACGTGAGACTTTTATGAATTTGCTGAAAAGTTGCATGAGAGACTTTAATCACTCAATGAGAGACACATAAGCACCGAAGCTCCTTCTATCACACTGATAATCGTCTCTACACTTATGAAAAACTTCATCTAAACATACCGTTAGACTAATGTTACTTACATGTGTAGTCATTTTGCATCACTTTGCTTTGAGCGCGGCAATAAAAGCAACCTTCATTCCACTTATGAAAGCCAGAGCAAACTTTTAAATTAGGTCTTGTGGATCTAATAAGAGTAAAAATGCTGCTCAGATTTGTTCAGAAACAAACGTCGGTGGACTTAAATAAGTTAAAGGTATATGATACGACAGAAGAACGAGCAGCGCAGTTGGACTCTCCTCTTTATTTTCGTTATGCTACTGTCTTTATTTGATTTTTTCCACATTAACGTAGTTTATTTTCACACAAAGTTACCAGATAGTTTTCTAACTTCTAGAGGGGTATTGTACTGATTGATGAAGCTCACGGTCTCTTGTGACCACAGACCGTCAGGATCTTGTGGTTTCTTGTTTGAATCTAATTATATGTTTACTTAATATTCACTATGTTCTTATATTTATAACAAACAGATCCACAGCTAACTGAATTACTAATATTGTGTGTTTTAGAACTTGCACATCCCCCATCAGGACGCTCAGCTGACTTCACGGATCGCAAAAGAACTCACGGATATACAGGTTGGTGGACGCACAAAACACACACACACACACACACACACACGTGCTGCAGATGTTTCCCCTATAGCTCAGCAACAGCTGGCTGAACATCTGGGTCCTTTACCCTCCCGTCACCCTCAGGATTCTGCCTTCATGTATTAATAGGCTGCTTTGAATAAAGCCGTCAGTGATGTGGAAAAATGTGGCTGAACAGCAAATACAATGTAAACAGCCTTTATAATAGAAATGTCACTGAGCTGAAGACTAAATATGGCAGACGTAAGGCAAAACCCCGACAAGAAAAAAATCCTCACTTGTCTCCGCAATTGCATTAAAGAACTAAATGATTATTACGTAACTCAATGAGATGAAATTATCCAGTTGTTATTTTTTGAGCAAACCACCCCTCCACTGGTCCTTATTTATCATACACCCACCGTGTGCATTATGTCCCTGTAAGCACACAATCAGTGAAATATCTTATTAGGTAATGAGCAACGGCTCGGCAGCATCGCGCGAGGCCCACAAACATGTCACATTTACAGTCCACTCAGCACTGCAGGTTTAAACAGATTCATAATGCTCTTTGCTGAAGGCTTGATTTGTGTTAATGAGTGTATTGCTGACTTGCCGTTATTGTGTTGTGCAATTAGCCTATTAGCGTGGGTATGAGCCTGGACGCCATCCGCGCTCTCTCACTAGAAATGTAAAGGAGTTCTTGGCTCGGCGCGGGCTTCCCACAATCCTCCATCTTGCAAAATTGCAGCTTCTGAATGGATTTATGTTTGTCCTGAGAGCTCCATTTTCCACCAAATTGTAGATGTCTGCAAGTCATATATCCCACTTAGCATTAGACCTGATTTCACTGTTGCAGCTACGTCTTTAATCCCAACTAGTTTACTTCTTTATTACATAATTTACCAACTCTCAGAAGTGAGTACACCTCTGTATCACCTTTTAACAATACCATCATGTCTAAGTTGACATGTAGGCTCTTTTCTCTTATGAACACCAAATGAACCCTTGACAAAGACTATACTGAAAATACATGTACTAAAGTAGGACAGCTTATAAGTAGCTTAACTGCAGGAACACGGATATAAAATGAGCAATTATGGATGTATGGACCGTGTCTGTCTGCATGTCTGCATCATGGCCCCACATAGGGAACAATTGCCAGAGAAACTGTCAAATAAAACAACTTTACAAGGATGGAAAAGGACACAACAGATTAGCAAACAACTAAAAATTCTGTTGAAACACAGTTGCAGCAGTAATAGAACAAGCCGCAGTACCACTAATCAGAGCTGCAGTGGTGGTCCTCCAAAAACAGAAAATGTCCGACCTGCACAATCCATCCATCCACTATCTATACACGTGAAATCCTCACTAGGGTCATGGGGGGCTGGGGGACACCCTGGACAGGTCACCAGTCTATCACAGGGCTACACTCAGAGACAGACAACCAAGCACACTCACATTCACACCTACGGACAATTTAGAATCACCAATTAACCTCAGCATGTTTTTGAACTTGTGGGAGGAAGCCAGAGAACCCGGAGAGAACCCACGCTGCACGGGGAGAACATGGAGACTCCACGCAGAAAGATCCCAGTGTCCCCACCTGGATGCGAACCAGCGACCTTCTTGCTGCGAGGCAACAGTCCTAACCACCTGCCTGCACAATCTAGCTTTGAAAAACAGAAAGACAAGTGCTTTAAACTTGGTACGGGGGTTACCAATGGAAATCAGAGTTTCGGTGACTGCTCAGAAGGACAGTGATTATCTACTTTGATGGATGCCGTCGAAGAAAAATACCCTCGCTAGCTGTTCAGTACATGACTGCAAGACTAAATTTTGCATGAAGTCTGATGAATGTTGGGAGAACGTTCTCTGGTCAGATGAAACCAAGATGGTGTGAACCTGACCAGGACCACCACAGTGAATGCATAGTCCTGACAGTGAAGCACGGAGGTAGAAAAGTGATGACACAGGGCTACGTAAACGCAAAAACTATATCCTTCCTTAAACATTAAATAGTCAAATACACATGATGTTAAATTAAGCCAAGAAAGTACATATTATTTCTGGTAAATTTCTGTATTTTTATAGTTTTTTGGTGCCAGTTTCCTCCAAAGGAAAACCACTGATTTTAACTGGATTTAAATTGGACGCCACTAGAGCCTCCTTGCTGCACCGTGTGAGCAGATAGCGTCTGCATTGGGTTTAATTTTCTGTTTTCTTGATCTCCTCAATGTCCTCTAAACACTTTGATTAGTTTATGTGGCTTATCTCTCCAACTAGTTTTTTTTTTTTTCTCCTCTCTTTTGCTTTGTCTCCGTCTTTTGTGCTCTCTGTGGTTTTTCTTTTCTGTCAGTGTGGGGCAACGCCGATTAGCATATCTGCTCCGTCCATCACCCGATGCCTCGTACGCCGCCAACGTGTCGCATCTTTATGCCCGATAACAACCTCCTTCCGTCGCTTCAGAGAGTAAAGTGGCAGAGAGCGGCCTAATGGCGGCGCGTGGAGAGCTGCAGATAGGGCCGAGACAAACTCCTGGATTTCTCTCATTAAGGCTTGTTGTAATTGCACAAACCCAATTATTGCCTCAGCCTTTTGTGATCTTCAAAGTCAAGATGCAGCAAATGAAGCCTTGAACAAGTGGGAAGAAGAGGAGGAGGAAGATTTGGGGAGGGGGAGTGAGGAGGGTAGGGGGGCAGCAAAGCTTAATGAACAATAAAATCGACAAAATGCTGGAAAACGCTGCGCTCCTTCCGCCGCGCTGTTAAATCTGTTGACATTTCATTTGGAGGGAAGCAGTACAGTGTTACCCCCCCCAACACCAACACCACCGCCGCCGCCGCCACATATACACACCCGCATAGACACGAACGCACACGAACGCACTCCTCCCCTCTCGAAGACAACATTGTGCAACAAACAAACGATGGTCTGAGGCAGCAGATGAAAGATGGGTTTACTAAGTCGCCCTGCTGTTCCTCTTTCAAGTTAATTAGAAATCACATTCTTTTGTTTCCCCTTCGCAGGCGTTTATTTACTTTCTCACTTCGACCATTAGAACAAATTTGCAACATGAGACACAAATAATTGGATTTGTCTCCGCGGCTGTCACGGATTGGGGGAACATTTTGTTTTGATTTTTTATTATAGTTCCTCTTTTTCTTTTTTTCTTCTTCTTCTTCTTTCTCTGTTGTGCTGCGTTCTGTCGGCGGCTGAGTTTGCAGATTTGCTCACGGATATTTGAGCTCCTTCGTGTTTTCTCGCAATTAAGCAGAGAAGTTTTAGTGGCGCGAGGTTTTTTATTTTTTTATTTCACCTTTTCCTGACCTTTATTTCCCTTCTTTTTTTCAGTACGGACGCACACCTTGCGACTGGACTCTCCTGGTGTAGCAGCCACGAAGGAAAACCAAAGACTCGCCGTACATGTGCAGCGACAGGGACAATGTATGTGCAATATCTTCAATCTAACTGCAATATGCTGGAGAGCCAAAGCCAAAATGTACCGCCTTCTAAATTAATGGCAAACACACAACTGTCCAAAGTAATTAACAAAAGTAGGCTAATGTCTCATGCAATACTGCACAATAACTTACAGGAACTCCGCCAACATGGTTTGTTCTGCAGCTTTTCGCCTCCTTTTGCAAGCAACATAAAGCTTTGATTCAACACATAAAGAAAAGTTACAGGAGCTACAACCTGTGGGTTCTAGTAGGACAAGATTAATTTGTGGTTTCTAAAAGTTTCTTACATTCTAAAAAGAGTGATTCTAAAGCAGCCACGGTTTGGTACTTCCATCACCAGCCTGTTGTGTTTCCCATTAAGTCGTGCTAACTTTGCAGTCTTCACCTTATTTGCAGAGACTCCTGGAGTGTAGCTGAAGGAAATTAGCATGAAATTCTTGCAATTTTCCAAAGAAAGCTGCTCTTTCGATGAATCCTAAACACTTGTTTTCAGTCTAACTGAACATAAACACAGAAATTAGTCTCCTACAGTTGACATTTTGCCACCTGCAGTAGCTTTACTCACTATATGGAGAGTTGATCTTTTCTTCTGGCTGATTTTGTGGAGGTGAAATGCCATCTCCGTGTCAGTTGTTTAATTTTCTCTTCTTCTTTAGTAGCAGAGCCATCATTTGTTTCTTGGGTTTTGTGACGAACACCTGCACTGCCAATAGAGGCATCCGGTCAGGTATAGAAGACAAAACAAGGGAAAAGCTGACATTTGTTGATGAATTCCTTGAATTATGGCATGTGTTTGTGTTTGTATCGAGACTTCAGGAGGAAAACTTGATCTTGGAAGCAGGTTTCAGGTGTTTTTCTTTTTTACCTCTTTACTTGCAGCCAATGGTTTTACCAGACAGGTAGCTTTATCTATTAAAGACTTAGAGTTGTTCCAGCCTCTGCCCCCTGCAATAATGTCTAAAGGGGCAATCACACACCTAAATAATTCACTGTGCCCATTTGATTAGGTCGGCTTGCCAGTATTTCCGGATGGAGGTCCCTAATGCAGTTAGCAAAACGTCTGTTCCAGGCGGCTAATTCCTGGGTTTACATTCGGTCAGACTGCAAACTGGAAGTTGGCTTTCTTCACAAAGCTGCAGGGAGCTCATGCCTGTTGCTAATTGTCATTCAATGGCTGTTTTGTGGAGCTCCTCATTTCCCCAGAATCTCTGCAACGAGGGTGAAAAGTGCAAAGTTGGCATCACTCATAGCATCACAAAAGCCAGATTAACGGGAGACAGACCAGGTTGAAATTCTCTTTTATGTCACAAGTTCTGCACAAAATCACATTCGTCAATCCTGGAACTAATTTTTTTTTAAAAATGCCACAACTTCAAGCTGAAAAAATGTTTTGTCAGCATTCTTGTTACAGACCAGCTCACTGGGGAAAAGGGAATAACTAACAACTGTTTTTCATATAGCACCTCTAAAATAAAACGAGTTTACAGTGCTTTGACAGACAAACCTGAAAAGAAGATACTCTGAAAGATAATATAAAGGAAAAGACGAGAGAAGGAACACGATAAAACGCAAAACACAACATTTCAGTACAAATAAATTGATAAAACGAACACTTGTTGATACATATATAAGAATAGAAGCACCAAAAATACCAAAGTGAAGAGCATAAAGTAAATAAAATACACAAAAGCAAGTCTATAAGAAGTGATTTAAAAAACGACAAGGATTCTGCAGCCTTATCTCCAGATCAGTCAAAGCCTGGAGGCCCGGATGGCAAAAGCTCGGTCAACATTAGATTAAAGCCTCGACTTTGGAAAACCAGAAGAATCCAAGATTAAGAACTTGCTCATAGGATCAACAATGAAATCTTTAAATTAACTCTAAAATGAAAAGTGGAGAGATGCCAGGATTTGATTGATGTGACGTCATCTATTAGGACCAATAAGAAGCTGAGCTTCTGTGTTCTGAACTAGTTGGAGGCAAAAAGGTGACATATGGTTGATACCAGAAAGGAGGAAGGTACGAAAAAACAACCACATTGTGACAATAGTACCAAAGTTCATTGTGATTTTAAACAAAATATAATATGCTTACCAGTGATTTTTAGACGTGGAGGTTTGCAGATAACTTGAGATAAATCCAGGCTAGCTGCTCCATTTGTCTCCAGTCTTTATATCAAGCAAATTGTAGCCTTACATGAGAGTGATGTCAGCCTCTAACCTTCACTATGAAAGCATAATATAAAACTATACCATGTAACATAGCTGCATATGTTCATAGATCCTGTATCCTGAGGTTTTTATCATGTATCAAGCAATATTACTTCTTCTATTTTGCACAACTTAGTAAAGCAGTTCTTCTTGTTCTGTTGCTGTAGTGAAGGTGCAGAAAGCATACAAATATATGTTCCCACACGCATCTCACCTCTCTGTTTTTTTCTATGATGTGGAGGATGTTCGGTTCAAAAGGCCTCGTCTTCACTGAGAAAGAGCTTTTGAATTAAACACGCTGTACTCTGCATTTGCTGGGACTTATTTCTGCATTGTGAACTTTAGCAGAACAAAGTGTCAGCACAAGACGAGAACAGTCTGCATCTCAAACGCTGTGCACGAGTTTTAAGCACTGAAAGTACAGCGAGGAAGCTGGAAGAAAGGATCGTTTTATTTACCGTTTCTGGTTCTTTATGACTCTGGTTGTAGGTTTGCAATTTGTTTTTTTTGCTGCAGAATGACTCTGGGACCAAATAAACATCACCTGATGATGTTCTTTCACAAGTCTGAACATATAAAGTGCCTAAAGCTTTTGCACAGTAATGCACATGACATCATACTTGATTAAATATTAAAGATCCCCTGTTGTTCCCCGAATCGGCAAATAAATTCAAGCGTCCCCCAGATTGTGTCTTTCATTTTTTTCAGCTCAAATTCTGGTTTATTTCACCATGACTGCATGTCTTTGGGTTTTTGTTCGGTTATAAACGGGCGGTTTCACTGTTCGTAGCTTTACATGCAGCTGAACTGCTGCTGTCCACAACCTTCAGGAAGAAAACTATCTCTGCATCCATTATTGACATTGCAAATGAAAACCATTGACCAGCTGACACAGATGTAAATAAGTGTGTGATGTTCTAACTTTACATTTTTTTTTACATGAAAATATCACCAAATTCACAGCATGTTTTTAACTCGTGTTTAAGGAGTTTGTCAAACAATGTGGTTATGAAATCAGTACTTGACTTGCAAAGAATCTTTTCAATCAATATTTATTTACTTTTCCCATTTTATGACAACCAAAACTGGAAAAAAAATAGTAAATGAGCACAACTTTATTGGAAATCCAGCTGTATTAAAATGCAGTGAGCACAGAGAGCAGGAGAGAAGCTAACAGATGTAAACACTGGCTGAGTTTCTGATAGGCTGAAGCACAACAGGCAACATGAAAACACATTTCCATCCATCCCTTATTTATTAATTTACTCTTAAAGTTTCCACCATCTGTGAATGTCCCTCTGGTTGAGAGTTTCCACAGAGCTCTGATGATCAAAGCTAATGGTGACCATTCGCCACATTACCTGCACAGCGTATTAAGGATTTTCCAGTTATTGTGTTGACATCAACAATTAAAGTAATCCGCCATAGTTCTAAGGAGAGGTGTAGGTAGCG